TCAAGATACATAAAAATCACTAACACTGCCTCTCATTTTACTCACCACAAACCAGAGTCAACTTAGGTGGCATCTACTAAATAATTAAGTGCCATCTATCAAACTAGAGCTGACCAACCATAGACCATTTAAATAGCTTATTTGCCTACTATGACTCACAATTGTCGAGAAAAAGTCAATCCGCTTGCATAGGAAGGGGGCTGTGGAGGGGGTGGTCGACACAGGTGCCACTTTTAAAAAAATATATATTTAGGGCGGCATTTTCGGCGAGCTGAAGAGTTTTTTATTTTTTTATTTTTTTTAAACTCAGTGGTAGTGGGTGGCACAACTTTCTAGTTAACATATCGCAACATAACCACTGGTCCGCTCGAAACGTTTCCCAGATCTGCTCATTATGAGGACACGTTACACATCACCCAACGCTTGGACATTGGTCGCTCTCTCAGTCTCTGTTGTTGGTGGAATTCTATTACGTAGCCGAGTTTCTCGCTTCGCACCTTTTTTGTGCCCATGCGCCGTTTCCCTGGTCTGGTCTGCTGATTACCAAAGTCATTCTCTGATACATAATACGTAATACGTCGGCCTAGCTAGAGCGACGTGGCCTCCACGGCCTTGCCATGTTTCTGTTTAGTAAGGCCGTGGGCAGCAACGCAGTCGCCGCGGCTTACCCGTGTATAGGTTTACTTTAAGCAGATTTCTGATCGTCAATGCTGCATAAACTTTATGGTTTGTGACCGCTGTGGTGGCCGCGCAAATGAACGCAGGACAAGAAAACCCACAACTCACCATAACACATCCAAACACAGGACTAGTGAACCAACGGACAAGTTAACACGCAGAAAAGTGAATACCGGTATATAGAACATAGACAGCTGAACCCAACAACTGGGTTTGAAAAGGCCTTGCTGAGATAATCGTCATTCTTGCCTTGTTCTTGTAAATTTATTTTCACTGCAAATTCGCAATGATTGGTTCCGAAAGATTTCAACTACTTTTATAAATATGTAAACGTTTTTAATGTGCTGAAAATTATTTTTACAAAATTGTGTTAATAACCATTTTTATTATATTTCTTGGGCAGATTTTTGTGCCAAGGAAAAAGTTTAAAATTTGTGGTTCTGTTCTGATTAAGCCAAGCTCTCTAGAGGAATAGTTGAACTTCATTCATTATGAATGAATTTTTTCTTATTTAGAATAGGCCTACCTAATTAATTCATAATTAGAGAATGATTTTTTCTTATTTAGAATACCTAATTAAATAATTACCTTATTAAAAAAAAAGAAATTGATTAATTAAAAAAAGAATACTAATTTTAATATGTAAATAAATTCTTTCGTATTGATCAAATTACTCAATTATACTTTAAAAAAAAAAACAAACATAAAAACTTACATTGAGACTAAAATTACCTAAGCGACATAACTTGACAAAATGTTGAGGATTTTTGTCGATCATATTGAAAGCTAACGGCTAGGAAGAAAACTATTTAAAGATAGAGCCTAAATATATATAGCCTATATATTCCAAACTATAAGGACGCCAAAAAAAAAAAAAAGTAGGCCTAAATATAATTAGTAAGTAAGTCCATTTAATGTTAACACTAAAAACGTCAAATAGTCATTTTAAGAATTTACCAATTATAAAATAAATTTGCATATGTTTTGTATTCAGTCGTAGGATCTATTATCATTAAAGAAACACTTATTTCTTTTTAAAATAAAATAAGAGAAAAAATGATTGAACAATTACAAGTCTCATCATTTTTAAAATTGCATATTAATTTATGTACTAAACTATTAACTTAAGTATTACATAGTAATACATTTATGGGCATCATATGTCATTTAAATGATACTATATCAACAGCTTCATCTGTTGTTGTCAAGCTATTATCGTACACATTTTAAGTACGTGTATCACTTATTGTGCTGTCGTAGTTTTGTTGTTGAATTAGTAGCAGTAATATAATTATTCAATAGCAACGTTTAAAAAAATAAATCATTGTTTTGATGTCAATGGTTGGAGAAAAGGAACTAAGACAAGTCATTGATTTAAGAGACAACTACATGTTTATAGTTAAAGGGAGTCGATGTATCAGATCCATTTGATGAAAAAAAATTCAAAGCTCTTAGAAATAAAATTCACGTCTAAGATTACTTTTCTTGTTGTTACATTCATGCTACGTTATGATATCTCGTCCTTTTACAGCCGTCACATATTTTTTTTATTATCATTTCTCTAAGAAGATTCTCATTTACTATTGCATTCATAAATAAAATGTGGAACTTTCAGATTCAGGAATGTCTAGAGTTTAGATGATGAATGGGATTCCCTGTAAGGTCTACATTATGTGTTTTAAAATACGGTCACGGATATCATTGTGAATGTGTCAACCACTGATGGGAGACACTTAATAGAATAAGTAATCCCCCGAGAATATAGTAAAGAGTATTGAGACTTATAAAGAATTACCAATAAGAGTGTTTCATTGAATCATAAGAGATCAAGTTTGCAAGTTGAGCAGTCGTGAGGAAAACTGACTGTAGATCATTATAGTGCACACAAGATTTTTAAAAAATAAAAGAGATGTTATAAATAAATTACAGGAATAGCGATTTAAGTGAAGCAATTCAAAGTATATATATCATAGTTCTGTGAAATTATATATTTCATCTTTTTGATTTTGTGAAAGTTGAAATTTAAAAAGTCACTGATTGAATCGTTCGACTATTATTTACTTATAACTGACCTAGTTCCACGTGTGTTCATTGAGATTTTACCTTATGACTTGTTTAAATACTAAGTCATGTAGACTATGAACATGTTTTTGTTCTCCTTTCCCAGAAGTGTCTTCTATTTTTGGCAACATTTAATACTGAAACAGGTTCACTATAGAATAATCTATAATAATAATTCCAGATTTGATGTTATCCGCCCCGCATGGATGTAACAAATAAATAAAAAAGGTCAAACGGATTGTCATGATTATTACGTCCATTTGAAAAGATAACACTGGGTTTTCCATACGAATGACCCCTCCCATATTTTCAGTCCTATCCTAATCTGGTGTATTTTCCCGTGTCATTATTCGACCACAAAGAAGTTTAGAAGAGAAGTAGGATGATGACACCTAAAGGGTATGAGAAATGGTGAATTAATGGAGTGCCTTTTGGATTTATTATCATGGATTCTGAATCTTCTCTCGTATTATACAAGCCAAAAGTTGTTGCGTTGCCCCAGTTAATCAAATAAAAATAATAAATTTTTTAGCCTATCTAATGATGATTGTATTGTGCTCTGAAGGGAACATGTGCATATGTAAATGTTTATCGGTGTAAGAAAATAGTTTGTACAAGCATGGGCGCCCGCAGGGGGGAAGCAAGGGGGGCACTTGCCCCCTCCTCCTGGATTGATTGGATAAAAAAATTTTAGACAAAAATAGACAAAAAGTTTATTAAAGTAAAGAGAAAATAAAACAAAGTAACTAAGCTGATGTCCTGTCCGTGTTCGTTCACCATACAAATACGCTACAGGAAATTAAAACTATATTAAAACATTACTAAAAATTTTTTGCCCCCCCCCTGGAAATTTAATCGATTTTTGTCCCCCCCCCCCTAAAAAAGTTTTCTGCGGGCGCCCATGTGTACAAGGCCCTTAAATTAAAACTGAGACAATAAATATTTTCATTATTTTGATTTTTGTAACTGATCCTTTTTTAATAAGTCCTTAACAATTTTTTAAAAATGTTTATATTAGGTATAATGAGCTATCATGATAAACTATAAAAAAAACAATATAAAATGAGTAAAACAGAGTAGTGTTAAACCTGAATAAATAAACGCAACAAAACAACGAACGTGTCGGCAGAAAGCCTTCGTCAGTGAAAAAAACAACAGAAAAAAAGGTTTAAAATTAAATATAAGAATAAGAAATTGCACTTAGTTGACTTAGCTGGGAAGTAGTATCTGTGGACAGCACATTTCTTTTGCTGCCCACGGATACTACTTCTCAGCTAAGTGCAATTTCTTATTCTTATATTTAATTTTAAACCGTTTTTTCTGTTGTTTTGTTCGCTGACGAAGGCTTTCTGCCGACACGTTCGTTGTTTTCTTGCGTTTTTTTTCAGGTTGAACTCTACTCTGTTTTACTCATTTTATATTGTACTAACCTGATTTCAGTCTCTCCCCTTATTACCCACCCCCCCCCTAAAAAAAAACAACAAAAAACAACTCTTAATTGAAGAAAAATGATTATGTTATGATTAGAATATGTGCCAGTTAAAAGAGTTTCTATATTAATATCATTTTGTTTCTTTGTATCGAAAGAATTTAATCATATTTATTGTACAAAATTGTATTCTACCCATGCAAATAATAATAATCCTGTTATATAAGTAAAACAGAGTGCATTTAAGTACCTTAATCCTCTTTGTAAACAAATATCTCAATGACATAACTAAGCCAAGGTATCTACTGTGGATTAATTGACTTTACCACCAAAAAATTATAAAATTGAGCCAAATACTTAGCTATAGAAAAATGATAAATTCCAAATAGATTTAAACGTAATTAAACAATATATATATATAGTGTATGTAGAATATTATAGGTAGCTCTGCTAAGCTCAAAACGTGCCGTCTTTTATTCTTTACATTTTTTTCTGATTTAATTTCTTAAATATATGGTTTTAATTACAATGACTAAGTTTCCACCTTAGGCATGGTTGTGTTAATGATTTGATTGAACAAACTTTTTGAAGACTAAAATACAGTGCATAAAGTTCGGCAATGGAGAGATAGAATACTACATGTCATTTAAAAAACTGGTTAACGTGTAGAATGAAATGTACGGGTGAGAAGGAAATGTGGTTACTGGTTTCAGTGGTTTCTCGTGCTTTACTTGTTACTAATAAAATAATTTATGTCAATGGTAATCTTTTCAGATATGAAACTATTTTATTATATATTAAGGAAATAACATGGTTTAAACATTTATTTATACGTATGAAACTATAATTTCATGAAAATTGCAACTTCATAAATTTTTTTTATATTTATTTTTTTTTCTTCATTAAAATCAATATGTTGTTAACACTAAACAATAATAATTCATTTATAGGTTTTAACTTTTTTTCCTCATTTATTCCTTTTTAAAACGCTGTGAAATATCATTTAAATCAATGAACACAAAAGCACAATAATTTATTTTAAAAAACTAAATAATTTTTGCATGTAATTATTAGTTTTGCTCGAGCCATTTTTCAAACACATGCACTGACTTTGTTTATTAATTATTTTTTTCACGCCAAACTCTCGTCTTCCGACGATGAGTTTGTTGGCTGTTCATCTGAAAAGAAACATAGAATACACTCATTATGACATCATGCTACATATGTATTTAACGTCAATTAGAAAAAAATAAAAGCTGAACCAGCAGAAGAATAGTATTTAAGAACAATAGGAAAATACAATTAGAACATCGCGAAGATCATGATTACTGCAATATTATTCCTGGCCCACAAAAAGTTACAATCCCGTATAAAATGTTAAAAAACTTAAAAATATATATCAATTGCATAACCTATAATATATCATCATCGTCATCATCACCATCTTGTCCCTTAGTCCTTGAATTGTTGGGACGCCACAAATGACAAGTGAACAATCCTCCTACATTCGTCTCTGTCTTCTGCACTACGCACAGCATTGCCTAGTTTTAGTCCCGTCCACTCTTTGATGATTTCTTCCCATCTTTTTCTTTGCCTTCCTCTTCTTCTCCCTCCTCTTGTTGTGCCCTGCATGCTTTCTTGGTGAGACTTTGTTTCCTTTCACGTGGACATACCATTGTAGTTTGCGCCTTTTTACAGTCAACAGGAGGTCATCGTACTGCCCAATTGCCTGACGAATCCTTTCTTTCACTTGATCATTGGATATATTTTTCTTATAGCTGATGCCAAGAATGCTTCTGAAACATCTCATCTCCACCGTTTTTATTTTCCTTTCAAGTTCTGCTGATAATATCCAGGACTTGCAGACATACAGGAAAATAGAGAGGACTAATGAGCGCATCAGCATTATTTTGATGCTGGGGGCTATGTTTTTGTCATTACATATTTTCTTGAGCCAATTTAGTGCTGTTGTGGTCTGGGCAATCCTGGACATCAGTTCGGGCGTGGAGCCTTCTTCCGAGACTATGGCTACTAGGTATTTGAATCTGCCTACTGTCTCTAATCTTCTTTCCCTGACCTTAATTTCATTGGCGATGCTGGTGGTGTTATTTGTCATCAGTTTTGTCTTATGTGCACTGATTTGTATGCCAAAGGACGATGAAGTCTTGTCGATACGCTCTACTAGGTTGACTAGCTCTTCTTCGATCCCAGCCAGTTCATCTATGTCACCGCAATGCGTAGGTGGGCAATTGTTCTGCCACCAATGCTGACAGTCCCTTCATGCGCTTCGGGAGCACCTGACATAATTCTCTCTAAGAAGATGATGAACAGGGTGGGGGAAAGCAAGCAGCCTTGTTGTACTCCAACCGTGGTCTTGAACCATTCTCCGATGTTGTTGTTAAAGAAGACTGCACTGATGACCTTATCATAGACGCTGCATATTATTCTGTGAGGTTTGTGTTGATGTTTTAGTGCCTCATGGTTTCCTATAAGGAAACATGCCAAACCCTGTCGAATTCTTTCTTTAAATCAACAAAGACGTGGTATAGATGTTGTTGGTGTTGAGCATATTTCTCAATAGTATTCTGAGGTTTAGGATCTGCTCAGTAGTGCCACGTCATTGCCTGAAGCCCGCCTGTTCTTCAGCAATGATTTTGTCGGCATGTGGCCTTAGTCGGTTCAAAATAACCTTTACCATGACCTTGCTTGGATGGTGTATTAGGCAAATGGTGCAAAAGCTTTGGCATAGTTGTAGGTTACCCTTTTGGGGAAGGTGATGATGAGCAATTTAGGCCATTCCTCCTTCAGCTATTTTTATTTATAATAAGGTATAGGGCACTTATCATTGCTTCTCCTCCTTGTTTTACAAACTCGGCAGGGATATTATCCGCTCCTGCGGCATTTCCTGTTTGGAGTGCTTGGTCTGCTGCTTCTACTTCTGCGAGGAGAGTATGGTATTTATCATGTTCTGATGCTGTGGGGATATTAAGGATCTCTGGGTCTATCTTTATATTTTCATTACACAGCTCCGATGAGTATTCAGTACATATTTTTAGGATATTATTTTCATCGTTCAAACTTTTACCATTTTTATCCTTTTTTGCACTTTGCAGTGGTTAGTTCTTTCACCATCTGGTATGCTTTTTTGCAATTATTTTTCCTCAATCAGTTTTCAATGTCGTAGCATTGCTCTTCAATCCAGTTCTTCTTTGACATTCTCACACATTTTTGATGGCTTGGTTAACTGTCCTATATTTATAGTCCCCTCTGTATATCCATTTTTGTTTTCTTTAACTGCCTCCTTTTATCACACAGATCAAGGATGTCAGCTGTCACCCATGGTTTTCGGGTTGGTCTATGTCTACCAAGGATGTCATGAGCTGTGTCCGTAACAGCTGTGTTGAAGTTATCGATCAGTTTTCCATGTCTGAAAAGTCGGTATCTATAATGTTAAGCGCTGCAAATTTTCCTCTTACCATTGCTTGGAAGGCGTCTGCTAGTTTAGGAACCTTCAGCTTTCGAATTTAAATTTCTGTGTTGAATTCGCTGTTCGGCCACCCATCAAAAGAGTTGCTACATTTCCAGATGATGCGATTGCCAGTGAAATATTATTTTGTCGTCGTATGGTTGCCAAAATAAGTCAAATTAGAAAAGTTTTCCCCGTACCTCCGGGAGCATCTACGAAATACAAACCATGAATTTTACTTGTGATTGCATGCATAATTCTGTCATTCACTATTGCGTTGTTCTGGAACCAATTTCGGCAGATTCGTTTAACCAATGTTCAAACTGCGTCGATATAAAAGTGTGTTTCTCGTTGCAAATCACGATGGTAAATGTTGTTTGCAGATCGTCTCGGAGCAGTCTTTCCCAACTCTACCAGTGCTTTGTTAGCGATTGCCAAACATATATCCTTAATTGAAACCAATGCTCTTTATACACGTTTGGTTAAAATTGAATGTCAGGATTTTTAATCGTTCCACGCGAACGATGTAGGCTGTCTTCACTCATGTAGTCATTGTATTTCTCCCAATGATCTTTTGGATTGGATGGGAAGTACGTTGTTTTTTTTAAAATTTTTTTTTACTTTGTACCGCGCTTCGAGCCTTTGGGGATGAAGCGTGTTTTTGAAATAAACTTTATTATTATTATTAATATGATTGCAAACAACGTGCGTATGTATTAGACTATTATACATCGAAATGGATTTTATTATAGCAATATTTTCAAAGTTTTCCGTTTCAAAAGAATTACACTGCTACTAATAATGATATTGGGATCTTGTATCACACTTATATTTATTTATATAGCTCAATTTAAAGCCTATATTTAAATCTTCCTTAAAGTACACAGGAAATTAATGACCGTAACAAGAGTCAGAACGTTTATTACAAACAATAAAAAATCCATATAAATGAAAACGTTTGTGTGCTACAATTACAAACTCGATTGAACGAACTTTCATGCACATGAAAAAATATACTTATGGAAGGCAATTTATATTTTATTAAAGAAAACAATATTAACAAAAAGAAAAGAAAAACCTCAATGTTTTCGTATTGATTGTGAAATTGAACACTTAAATTTTGATACATAATTAAAAGTTATTTTAATTCTGTCCATTTAATAAACATACAGATTAATATGTGGGTATATTTCTATGTATTTTTTGTTGTTGCAAAATCCCACATATTTGTATTTAACATTTCATAAAATTTGTAAAATGTATGAGGCCCCCCCCCCGCATGCAGTGTTATGGGTAGAGGTTATACTTCAATGCATAAATACCTTCCTCTTCTTCAATGTACGACATATACGTTCGCTTAAGAGCCATAATTGATTCTCCAACACCTTTCCCTGAAGAAGAAAAATGATTAAATCCTTAATATTCCCTTTAATTAGCAACTAACAAAATACCAGCGCTTCGCAGGGGAGAGCCATTTTTTAATAAAAAAAGGTAAGATATTATCAATAAAATTAGCGAAAAGTTACCAAAAGTTATATATTAAGGATCTCTTTGTATACCACGTTGTCAGTTCGGCCCTCCGGTTGAAGTATGACGAAGTTTGCGCTTAGCTCACTCTTGAGCATGCAACGTATAGTTGGCCACGCGAAAAGCCATCCTGCCTCAAATCAATGATAACTTTTTGTATGGTCTGTCTTTGAGACTTATTAATTTTCTTTTTAAAACAGAGTCTTAATAGAAATCGGAGGCGCTTGAATTGAAATGGGAGATCAGAGGGTTTAACGGGGATGCGAGGTATAAGAGCTGTCTCCCCTGAGCCACTGCCAGTGAAAAAAGTTGCCTTGATTAGTTTCTTTTGCAGACACGTGATTTGAAGTCTGGTGCCATTAAAAAGTTATGGTGGCTATAAATTTCGCAGTAACATTATTGGTGCCCCAACTTTCAGAATTAGATTATGTTGAGGAGAGCCAGGAGGATTTATTGTGTTGAGAAACTCTGCTGGTTATGTAATGCGTCGTCCACTTCCACAACTGAATCCACAGACTGATATGTTGTAGTTTCTGAAGGTAGTTCTCGAAGTAAAATGTGGTTTATAGTTGCAGTCACGTCATTTCTTTGTGTAAGGATAGCGCTCTCCATTAACCATGACACGTCTTTTTCGTGTAGATTTCTTAGATTGGGATAAATATGTTTAAGGAAGTCTGGTAAGGTATTCACGAGGAGACAGAGATTTGAAGAAATAGTAATTTTACGATCTTCTTGACTGAAGCTGCCATCAACGATACTCATCAGAAGAGCAGATAACTGTGGCTTTTTTGTCGCCTTTAAAATGAACACTCATGTTTAATGTTAAAGAAAGAACAATGATTTGAGGCCAAAGGTATAACGATTTAAGACACGATTTAACTTCGTCAGCGCGTGTTCCTCTTGGCACGACCGGTACGGTTTGCCGGAAGTCTCCGTCAAGCATAACTGTCAACCCTCCCATTTGTTTGTTGGTGGTACGGTCTTTGAAGGTCCTGTCTAAAGCCCCAACACCCGCTCTGTTTGCCATGGTAGATTCATCCCAGACACTAAGCCTTGAATACCTGAGCACTTCAGCCATGTTGCTCTTCTTTGATATGTTACACACAGAGGTAGAGTCAGGATAGCAGAGGTTCAATGGTAGCTTAAAAACAGAATGAGTAGTTCTTCCACGCTGTAGAAGAGTGGCAGCGATGCCAGATAAATTCACTGCTATAGCAATGTTTGCGTCCGCTCGGATTTTTGCAATCAACAGGGTTTTGAGGAATTTCTTACCAGTTCCGCCTGGAGCATTAAGAAAACTTAACGTGTTAGTGGCCGAGACAACGCTTCTCATGACATGCTCATAAACTGTCTTTTGCTGATCATTTAGCAGCTGCACGTTTTCTGTATCTATGTTGGCCAATTACGAGGTGTTTTAAGATTTCTCTTTCAAGTATTCTGGAAGTATTTGACGTAAGTGTTACAATTATGCATCATTTTTTGCAATTTTTGCACCAGGGTCTTGTTAAGTCCAGAAACATTAGCGTACCGCATGTGTGCTTCAATTTCATCGCCCTCGACGAAATAAATTTGTAAAAATTTGTGTTCGTCAGTCGTGATAGGTAAAAGACTACCAATCAAGTGGTATACGTGTCCTTTGAATTTAAATGAAGGCATACAAATTCCATAAACCATTTGAATAGCACAAAATGACGTCACTTGAAAAGCGTTGTTGTATTTGCAAATATTGTTCAAGAAATGCTCACGTAGAGGATTGTCACCCCGTAAGAGGGCATCAAGAAGCTGGTGGAGTCAGACAAATTTAATCAGCGTTACAGCACAAAAATGGAGACTCGAGTTTCCACCTGCGAGCTTGGCAATAGTCACAGACACCATCCATGAATACAATGCGTACTATGTCGTCAGATTCATAATCCATGTTTGCGTCGTACGAAAACGCACAATCGATTTTTTAGCAAAAACTTTTAGTCTGTGCATGTGTCGCTTTTGATAATTGGTATCGAACCTACAAACATCATCTTTGTTAACTTTGAGATTTGTCTGGGAGTGGGAGTATTTAGCGACAGCGTCCCTATTAACTTTGGGATTAGCCTGGGAGTATTTAGCGACAGCGTCCCTATTAACTTTGGGATTAGCCTGGGAGTATTTAGCGACAGCGTCCCTATTAACTTTGGGATTAGCCTGGGAGTATTTAGCGACAGTGACCCTATTAACTTTGGGATTAGCCTGGGAGTATTTAGCGACAGCGTCCCTATTAACTTTGGGATTAGCCTGGGAGTATTTAGCGACAGCGTCCCTATTAACTTTGGGATTAGCCTGGGAGTATTTAGCGACAGTGACCCTATTAACTTTGGGATTAGCCTGGGAGTATTTAGCGACAGCGTCCCTATTAACTTTGGGATTAGCCTGGGAGTATTTAGCGACAGCGTCCCTATTAACTTTGGGATTAGCCTGGGAGTATTTAGCGACAGTGACCCTATTAACTTTGGGATTAGCCTGGGAGTATTTAGCGACAGCGTCCCTATTAACTTTGGGATTAGCCTGGGAGTATTTAGCGACAGCGTCCCTATTAACTTTGGGATTAGCCTGGGAGTATTTAGCGACAGCGTCCCTATTAACTTTGGGATTAGCCTGGGAGTATTTAGCGACAGCGTCCCTATTAACTTTGGGATTAGCCTAGGAGTATTTAGCGACAGCGTCTCTATGAATTTGTGGATTTTTCTTGTTGTATTTGGCGGCAGCGTCACGAAGTTGTTTCAGTCTAGGCGCTTCAGAAAATCTACCATGACGTCTCACACGCATCCTTTTTCAGGTTTGTCATTGCCCGGAGTGCTTTTTTGATGAAGCAGTTGAGTTTCAATGCTTTTTTTTTTAACTACGTTAGTATCTGGTGTGTTGGTGTGCAAGGGACATTCGGCTTCTGTCAAGCGTTGCAAGCATACAACAGGTTGCATAGATAACTTGTTTTCCACTGCCATTACTCCAAGAAAAAAACTCACAATAATAATACTACATATCCCTTTTTATACAATACGTCGCAAGATACTAAGCATAACAGATAAAATAATACATATAAGCTCTGATCAACACTCAATCTCAATATTTTGTTGTTAATTTTATTGATATAGCTCATTTAAGGGAAAAAAAAAACGAGGTCGAGGCCAGAAGGTTGTGACAGTTCCGGGTAGAGTTTTGAAATGAAACCTATTTTACTTTTGTGAGTAGGCTGTAAGGAATAAGCCTGCCAATTTTTAAGGCTTCTATCTACAGGAAAAATGGAGGATTAGTGATGAGTCAGTGAGTAAGGGCTTTGCCTTTTTATTAGTATAGATAAATGACTAAATGAAAGGTAATATTTTAAATTACTAGGTGCTATAAAACGGTACAAACATATTTTGATAACATAAACGATCAAACGTGATTAACCGTAACATAGTTAAATCAAAGAACTATATATATCTATATACATTACACAATGATATAAACATTGAAAGAAAAGAAAAAGATAAAATATGCAAATTTTTACTTATTTCATAAAATAAGCAAATTACTATTAATAGCTTCTTGATATTAAATAAAATGATAAATTATATTTTATAGTTTAAAACCCACAAACAAGTTTTAACAATGTTATTTAGAGATACAATTTAAACAGTATTTAACATTATTGACAAAGATAAACCATATCATCAATGAATGAAGTATGGCTCTCATTCTGTGTTCTATCTATTTCCTATCATATAACATTGTATAAATACCTTCGACTTCAGAAACATTTTCATTATTTGTTTTGTCTGAAGATTGATTTGTTTTTCCACCGGTCTCCTCTGATGATCAATAAGAAAAAAAAAGTTATATGCAATACTATTAAATGAAAAATGCACATAGATATTGTGAATTATAACGTAATTTCTAATCAAATTTTTGGTTGCTATATTTTGTTAAAAAAAAGCAAAAGAAATACAGAAAAATTAAAATACACGCCCTAAACCATATATGATAAAATTGACCATTTTATGTGAAATAGACTTAACTCATTAAAACATCAAAATTTCAGCAATAAAAATGTTTTACCTTTGAAATTTGAAATAAGCTAAACACTTTATATTTTTTATAAACATTTTAAAAGCTGGTTAAGTAAAGACTTCTCTCAAGCTTTATAAAATGTATTTTCCTTTCAATATTTAAATACAAATTATCTATGCTTTAAAAAGATACTTGCTTACTAACGATAAAATTGCCCTGTCAAGTAAGTGATAATTTTGTCATTTAAAATCTTGGTTTGTTATGTGTTATAAAACAGCTCTATATAAGGCGACGATTTAAATGTATGTATGTAAAGTTAAAAGATCCAAAAAACTTTTTTTTTTTATAACACTATGATAAATTTATAGTGTTTTAAAGGTAAATGGTTGCGACAAAAAGAAGAAATTCCGTATGACACACTTTTTAGGCTATACCACCTAATTAAAATTTAATGGCCATTATGTAATAAATGAACTGAAAAACATATTATGAACTGCTGGTTGCCGATTTTCCCCTTAATTTACCAACGTTTTAAATCATTAAAAACTTAGTTTGATTGTAACTGAAAGCTATACTACTTTAAGGCTGCCAATTTTAAAGGCAATATCTTATCAAACATCCCCCGATTGAAATGCGATTGAAATGAAATACATTTAAAAAATTAACTTGAATATGTATCTGAATCATTTTTTGTAGAGACCCTTACTAAAATGGCCCACCTTTGGTATTTTATTTGATACACGGCAATAATCTTTCGCCTTGGTGAATACCTGCTTTTTTTAAATTACCAAAACGTTTATTGATTTTATATCGTAGTTTTAAGCAGTGCAAAGCATTAATATTTACTTAAAAGTGGCGAGCCTAAAGTTCAATGTTTACAAGAGTAATTATCACAATGCCTTTTTATGCGATAACATTTATCATTTTAATTGTTATTTTAACAAGGTGTTTTTGAAAACCCGTTAAATGTTTTGGTAACCTTATTCAATTTTAAATGATTTTTCCGATTGCAAACACAAGCCACCCGGGTATATTGGCCTTTATTTACAAAAATGTATATTTGCACGTTATCCAAAAAAACATATCCATTTTAAAATTTATAGAAACACGAACTTAAAAAAAAATCAGTGCATTATATTTAGATACAGGTTTAGGTTTATTGATCTACATACGTTTGGGGAATTTCCATGTTATGAGTGATTATAAAATAGTAAATAAGTTTATCTATGTTTCTATCTTATTCTACACTATTAGAATTTTTAAATGGTTTAAAGATTAAATAGATTTTTTCAATTGATATGATTTTCCTAAAATATTATGAAATTAGATATCAAGCTACTTTTTTAAGATTTAGATAGAAATCTGGCCTGTAGGAAGATCCCGTCCGTCTCTGGGCAACAGAGGGCCATTGACATTATTTACAAATATTATAAATAAAAGAAATTCAATAATATATAATTCATCTGCAGTGCATTAAAAAGTCTATTAAAAGCCTACCTTTGACTTTATCAACATTATGATTAGAGGTTTAGATAATGATTGGCTGATATTTCAAAGAATGTCTCCAATGTTCAAAAATTAATCCAATAAAATAGCATTGTTGGTTTCAAAATTTGAAAATATATTCAATATTTAAGATTTTGATCAAAATTGTAATTCAAAACCTTTGTTTTAAACATATAGGGACATAAAAAATGTCAACACAAACGAAAGACCAAATTTGTGATTAAAATAAAAAAAAATTGAAAGTACTTAACAATGATGCAATTAAATTTTTTTTTTTTTTTACAAAATGTAGAATTCGTCGATTTCCACAGAAAAAAAATTGAAAGTTTTTAGAGTTGAGGCGTCGATATAGGACTCCATGTAGACTATGATAACAGTTTACATTACGTTAATAGCTATTAAATTTTAAATCATATTTATACATATTTTCTAAGATTTTCTGCTTTCAAGCCATACAACTGGATAAACTTGTGTTCAATAAAAAAGGGACATATCTAAGTTTACCACTTTTAATTTGCATATTGCCGTTTGTGTCCTGAAATTCATGGTCTCCTGCTTCGTCCACGATTTGTGATGAAACTGGAATAAAAGAAAATTTGGTCAACATATTCTTCCTAATGCCGACATTATTAACGTATTATTTTTAGTTATTGTCAGCAAAATAAAATTTCTTTTGAAAATGATTAATTTTAAAGCTATTTTACCCAAGTGAACCAATTTGAACACTTCAAATTTAGAAAAATATTTGTAATAAACTTATTAAGAAAACCTCCACATATTATAACATTTTTTTTATTAATTGGCTGTACATATAAAACATATCAATTTTAATATTTATATATATATATATATATATATATATTAAGAGTACGACATCCTTTGAAAGAAAAATACGAGAAGCTGTACAACATATACACGCACATGTAATAAAATATAACAGTTTTCATCAATTGTTAGTCTTTAAAAACATACATATCTTAAACATTTTTTATCTTTTGATGTTTTATGTTGACTTAAAAATAATCTCCCCCCCCACCTCTTCCAATTTTACAAAGTTAATGCTCATATATTTGTTTCTCCTGGTTTTTCCATATTTATACATAAATATAGACATGCCTGATAAATCAGTATGTAAATGATTTGAATAATGCAAATAAATAAGCTGTTCATTGAATATGGACTTAGAAATATAAAAGATTTAAAAATAACCTAAACGCCAACAGCCAATAACAACAAACTTTAAAAAAGTAGCTTAATTTCTACTAAATAATAATACCAAATGCCAACTAAATATGTGCTCTTGTTATAAAATAATACATTTTTATGTAGAATATCTAAAAAAAAAACTAGAGCTTTTAAGGGGGTCACTGCTGATATTTTTTATAGAATTAGTTTTTCGATTATACGTAAACACACTCAAACATTTGTGGCACCAAATTTTTTTCACCATTAAAAGTTATCAAGACTGACCATAAATTTTGTTTAAATACTATATTTACCAGGCTGAATAAATCCCTCCGATTGTTTTGTGTATTCTGTGGTTTAAAGTATATATCGTTAATGATATTAGTGAATTAAAACTGCTTATTGATATCTCTTTAAATATAATTCCTAAATTCATGTATTCATTCATCAATTCTTACATCCCTTCTGCCAATGTTAAGCAATACACAATATTCTTCATGGAAACATCCATTTCAAATACATGGTTTCATTCATCAACCGAGAAAAATCAGATTTTTTCCATTAAATGTTCTTTTTAAATGACACTTGTTTCCAAAATGTTCGAAAGGCAGAAAATGTAAAAATGCATCACTAATAGCTTTGGAAAAAACAAAAAAAGGCAACATTTTAATTCCATAGTTTTATTTATGATATAAGACGGTGATGCATATTAATTTTGTTGCACTTAAGACATTGCTTATTAGGTTTAAAATGTCTTAAATAATTAGAAAAAATGAGAATGGTTACTTAATCATTTACATAAAAGTGTACATTATTTTTACTATTTAAATGCTCCTAACGCAAACAAATATTCATTTAGAAGCTTACGTTACATAATTAATAAAAAATTATATCTTGTCATTTATAAGATATTTTAAAGCATTTTGAATTATCTGATATATAATATTTACAATTTTTACTTACTTAAGAGGTTTTCTAACGTCACCACAAGGCTAAATTTATAATTTTCTTCCATATATGTAAAAGTAGCTGTGAATAGAAGAAAAACGTAAAGACAAAATGAATAGAAAATAATCTAAGATACAAAGAATTATTTTCAATCAAACTCTTCCCTCTTAACAAATCGCAAAGGAGATCTAATACACAATTGTTGACTTAAAAGTAAGCACTTTAAATGAAATCAAACTAAAAGTAAATACCATAAATCAAATCAGACACCTTTTTATTCTTAAAATATATATTTTAAATTCTACATTTATGAAGCCTAATCAAAGAGTAAAATGTTTTTATCATTGTAACTACTTATATCAGTGAGTCGCATTGGCATAGAGATATCACTGCAGATTTTCTTGTAGATTTAAACAATTTTTTAAAATTTATTATTATTTTTATAAGTTTCTTTTTCTTTAAAACATTTTAAAACCGCTAGAAATACTTATACCAACTTAATGTTATTATTATTAATACTACAACAATTTTGCCAGAATTAACATAAAATACAATTACCTCAATTTCTTAAAAGTTAATGTGGAAACCCTTATCTTTCGTTTGCCTTGATAAATAGCAAATTTTTTACAGCTTGAGACCTTTCAGGTCAACTTAAATGTTGGAAGTAGAACACGATCAATTTTTCTAAGATATTCCTACGACGTGGGAACTTTGATTTTGTTGAAAAGCAATCAAAGATGGTAACATTCTCAGATATTAGGGTGCACAATGTATACCTGACACAACACATTATCCTTTTTCAAACCATAACCCCTGGAACAGTTTTCCCCTGCTTCCTTCGACGAAACATGTTGTTTGTCCACACATAATATGACGGAAATTACTAATAAATAATAGACGTAATTTTAAGCTCGTAGTTAATTTTGATTTAGTCTTATATAATTTAGTCTTTCGGATTTAACTTTGGCGTACACATCAACTTAAAACTAATTAAATAAACTTCTGACGAAAAATATAGTAATTTCATGATGTTGTCTAAACATAAGTCGATATGAATAGTAGTTCGTTGCAGACAACTTACTGTCGTTCATAACTTACTGTCAGGGTCAACTTGTGGTATAGACACAGAAGAGCCGCCCTCACCATTAGAGAACATGAGGGGATATTGAAGTGCATCATAGGATATGTGTGTATCCTTAATGCGTTGCAGTTTATTTTCTATGCTCTTCAAGATATTGTCAAGATATTCGAACGTGTTCCCCACGATGACAGCACCAACTTCACTTGCTTCAGGTTTATTATATATGCCTTTGTGTGCATGTGATAGTTTAATGTCGACTTGAATAATAGCCTGGAAGTCTTTGTCTTGGTCTGAAATATTGTTGATACTAAGCATAACAGATAAAATAACACATATAAGTTCTGAACAACACTCAATCGCAATATTTTGTTGTTAATTTTATTGATATTGCTCATTTAGGAAAAAAAAAGAGGTCGAGGCCCAAAGGTTGTTACAGTTCCGGGTAGAGTTTTTGAAATGAAACCTTTACTTTTGTGAGTAAGCTGTAAGGAATAAGCCTGCCAAATTTTAAGGCTTCTATCTACAGGAAAAATGGGGAATTAGTGATGAGTCAGTGAGTAAGGGCTTTGCCTTTTTATTAGTATAGATAAATGACTAAATGAAAGGTAAGATTTTAAATTACTAGATACTATAAAACGGTACAAACATATTTTGATAACATAAACGATCAAACGTGATTAACTGTAACATAGTTAAATCAAAGAACTATATATATATATATATATATATATATATATATATATATATATATATATATATATATATATATATATATATATATATATATATATATATATATATATATATATATATATATATATATATATATATTAATATATATAAAAAAAAAATATATATATATATATATATATATATATATATATATATATATATATATATATATATATATATATATATATATATATATACATATATATATATAAATATATATATATTTATATACATATATATATACATTACACAATGATATAAACTTTAATAGAAAAACACAAAGAGAAAATATGAAAATTTTTACTTATTACATAAAATACGCAAATTAATATTAATAGCTTCTTGATATTAAATAAAATGATAAATTATATTTAATAGTTTAAAACCCACAAACAAGTTTTTCAATGTTATTTTTAGATAAAATTTAAATTTCTTTTAAGTATAATGAAACTGTAACAAACATTATTCACAAAGATAAGCCATATTTATTTATTTATTCAGGCATTTTTATATAGCGCTTACCTTAAAGCTCTAAGCGCTTTACAATTATTTTAAAAAAAACATGTGTGGGGATGTAAGGAAGCATCAGTTCAGAGAGATAGACAGGAAAGTGAGGGTCAGTGAACCTGTTGAAGCATAGATTGGGAGACTTGTACTTGATTGGAGAGGATATTGTAAGCCAGTTGAGTTGCCGCATGTGGGGTTGAATGTGGTCATGTTTCTTTGATTTAAAAATGTGTCTGCATGCTGAGTTCTGTGCCTTCTGAAGTTTGTCTATGTGGTGTTGATGAATGCCTGCGAGAAGAGTGTTACAGTAGTCAAATTTTTTAAAGAATGAGTGAAGAGACGAGAGTTTTTGTGGCATCAAAGGAGAGGAGGATTTTTCTAATTTTGTTATATACTGATCTGCATATATTCGTGACATGTTTGTCCATGGAGAGGGTGTCTGTAAGCGTGACTCCAAGGTTTCTGGCAGAGGAAGAGAGTGTGATGTCAGAGTTGCCAATAGATATAGAAGAAGGAGCGGATGGAGGGAGAGGTTTGTTTTGAGAGTGGATGAGAAGGATTTCCGTTTTATCATCATTTAGCTTCAGTTTGTTGCAATCCATTCAATGCTTTACGTCGTCCACGCACTCCTGTATGCGAAGGATTGTGGCATCAAGTTGATGAGGAAAGCAAGAGTAACTGATTTGAGTGCCATCAGCAATGGATTGACTGGAAACTGAGTGGTGGCTAATAAGAGATGATAGAGGTTTAGTGTAGAGGATGAAAAGGACCGGCCCAAGCACCGATCCTTGAGGAACTCCAATAGACAGGGCTGAAGGTTTGGAAGAGTGGTTGGAAATAGAGACTGTTTGAGTTCTGTCAGAAAGATATGATTGACACCAGTTTAAAGCTGATCCAGTAAGTCCGAAAGAAAGATAAAAGCGGTCGAGAAGAATTTGGTGGTCAATGGTATCAAATGCAGCAGAGAGATCTAACAGAGTGAGAATAGAGAGTTTGCCATCGTCCATCGCGCGCAGGAGGTCGCTCATGACTCGGACCAGTGCTGTTTCTGTGCTATGACCAAGTCGGTAAGCGGACTGAGAGGTAGGATAGAGATTGCGAGAGCAAAGATAGTCAGAGAGCTGAGAGAGTATGAGTTTTTCTATGATTTTTGAGAGAAAGGAGAGGTTGCTGACGGGGCGGTAATTCTTGAGTGTTTTTGGATCAAGTGAGGGTTTCTTTAGGAGACGCAGGACTATCGACCGTTTGAAAATAGGAGGGAAGATGCCAGAGAGAATTGAAGAATTTATTATGGAGGTGAGTGCTGGGAGGAGGACGTCAAGGCATTCTACAAGCAGTGGGACGGGGATCGGATCAAGGGCACAAGACTTGGGAGCAGACCTGATGATGACTCGCCTCACCTCATCCTCAGTCACAGGCAGGAATCTATCAAATGATTCTGTCTGACTAACGTCCTCTGAGAACGGTGAGGAAGGTGTAGGGGTCACACTGTCTAGCTCCTCCCTATCAGCAATGAATGAATTATGGCTCTCATTCTGTGTTCTATCTATTTCCTATCATATAACATTGTATAAATACCTTCGACTTCAGCAACATTTTTACTATTTGTTTTGTCTGAAGATTGATTTGTTTTTCCACCGGTCTCCTCTGATGATCAATAAGAAAATAAAAGTTATATGCAATACTATTAAATGAAAAAATGAACATAGATATTGTGAATTATAACTTAATTTCTAATGAAAGTTTTGATTGCTATATTTTGTTCAAAAAAATCAAAAGTGAAACAGATAAATTAAAATACACGTCCTAAACCATATATGATAAAATTGACCATTTTATGTGAAAAAGACTTAACTCATAAAAACATCACAATTTCAGCAATAAAAATGTTTTACCTTTGAAATTTGTAATAGGCTAAACACTTTATATTTTTTATAAACATGTTCAAAGCTGGTTATGTAAAAATTTCTCTCAAGCTTTAAAAAATGTATTGTCCTTTCAATTTTTAAATACAAATTGACTATGCCTTAAGAAGGTAATTGCTAACTAACGATAAAATTGCCCTGTCAAGTAAGTGATAATTTTGTCATTTAAAATCTTGGTTTGTTATGTGTTATAAAACAGATCTATATAAGGTGACGATTTAAATGAATGTATGTAAAGTTAAAACATCCAAAATAGAAATGCCTTAGAAATCAGTATGTGGATGATTTGAATAATGCAAAAAACTAATCTACACAATGAATATGGACTTAGGAATATAAAATATATAAAAATATCATTAAAGACAACAGCGAATATCAACAGTTTTAAAAAAATATCTTAATTTCTGCTAAATAATAATACCAAATGCCAAGTAAATATGTGTTCTTGTTATAAAATAAAGACATTTTTATGTAGTATATCTAAAAAAAACTAGAGCTTTTAGGGGGTAACTAGCGATATGTTTTTTTGGAATCAGTGGTTCGATTATACGTAAATACAGTGAAATATTTGCGGAACCAAATATTTTTTTGCCATTTATATTTTATCAAGACTCACCATAAATATTGTATAAAAAATATATTTACCAGGCTGAATAAATCCCTTTACTTGTTGCATGTATTCTGTGGTTTAAAGTATTTATTGTTAATGATAATAGTGAATTAAAATTATTTATTGATATCTCTTAAACATGATATTGGGTAAATACGATGTTTCTATATTTTTAATCATGTCCATATTTATGCTCATATTTATTTAAATATAATTCCTAAATTCATGTATTCATTTATCAATCTTCCATCCTTTCTGCCATTGTTAAGCAATATACAATATTCTCATGGAAACATCCATTTCAAATACATGGTTTCATTCATCAACCGAGAAAAATCAGATTTTTCCATTAAATGTTTCTTTATAAATAACACTTATTTCAAAATTTTCAAAAGCTTAAAATATATTACATAATCCAAAAATGCATCACTAATAACTTTGGACGAAACAAAAAAGCAACATTTTAAATCCATAGTTTTATTTATGCTATAAGACGGTGATGCATATTAATTTTGTTGCACTTAAGACATTGCTTATTAGGTTTAAAATGTCTTAAAAAATTAGAAAAAATGAGAATAGTTAATTAATCATTTACACAAAAGTGTACATTATTTTTACTATTTAAATGCTTTCAACGCAAAGAAATATTCATTTACAAGCTTACATTATATACATAATAAAAAATTAGATCGTCTTATTTATCAGACATTTTAAAGCATTTTGTATTATCTGATATATACTATTTACAACTTTTACTTACTTAAGAGGTTTTCAAACTTCTCCATATGGTTAAATTTATAATTTTCTTCCATATATGTAAAAGTAGCTGTGAATAGAAGAAAAAAGTAAAGACAAATTGAATAGAAAATGATAAACGACAAAAAGAATTATTTTCAATCAGCCTCTTCCCTCTTAACAAATCGCAAAGGTGATCATGACTAACACACAATTGTTGAACTAAAAGTAATTACCATAAATCAAATCAGACACCTTTTTTATTCTTAAAATTTATATTTTAAATTCTACAGATTTATTTATGATGCCTTATCAAAGATTTTAAGATAAAATGTTTTTTTGTTTAAAACATTTAAAACTACTAGAAATACTTATACCAACTTAAGGTTATTATTACTAATATTACAAAAGTTTTACAAAAGATAACATAAAATACAATGACCTTAATAATTTGTTATATATATAATATATAAATATATATATATTTACACTCGTATTATTTCAAACTATGTATATATATATATATATATATATATATATATATATATATAATATATATATATTATTATAAAAAATATATATCATACATATTTATATTTTTTTTTATTTTTTAAAAAAAAATATATATATACACGTATTATTTCAAAATATGTATATATATATATATATATATATATATATATATATATATATAATATATGTATGTTATTCTAGGAAAGCTATACCGTACCCATTTATCGTTTTTATTATGTTTTAAAAAAAAATTACATTTACCGACCAATAACGATAATAGTTCAAAATCTACATTTAAGTATGAGATTATATATTTAAATAAATGCTACTTTAAAAAAAAAATAAAGAAATAAAAAAAAATACCTACCATAGATACAGTTTGCAAAGGACTTAATACAATTTTTCATTGTTTCAGGCATATTTGGAGAAATAAAATCTGTGAATGCCCAAATGATGTACGTTATAAAAATAGCAGAAAAATTGGATTTAATATTTCTTTGGTGTAAAATTTGTAAAATAATTTAAAATATACCTGCCCATAAAGTGAGCTTTGTATATACTTAAAATGATAATTTCAATGGATATTAGTCATTTTAATTAAATTAAGTATCTAAATATGAGTACATATTTTATTTCAAAAGATTGTTTTTAAAAAAAACAATTTTCACAATAAAGTCTTTAACAAAAAGGCTTCATGTTTAAAATGATTTTGAAATGTATATTAAAACTCACCAAAAATCAATGTACATTGATCATTTCAAATATCTGTAACATTAACGAATATTGATGTATCGGTTTATTTCTATAAAAATTAACCTACTTTTTGAATTGCCCTGAACTAAACCATCGAGTAAAAAAACACAGACGACTTATATCTTCATAAAAATTTGTTAACCAATTTTTACGTCTTTACCAGAATTGTAAGTTTTTTTAAGACAGTTTTTTCTCAAAAGATTTTTCTCGCACTTTTCCCCCAGCGTTAATTTTCTAAAAATGTAAAGATAAAAATAATGCTTATATATATTTATATATATAAGAATGAACGAGAATGAACGTAACGCATAACAACCGAAAAGATTGAATACGTTCGGATTCTTAAACACGATCATAGTTATCTTCTATAACTTTACAGAAATCGAATAAATTTAAATTCGCAAAAAAATATACATACGCTATTATTTTAGTTAAATTTTTGGAATTTAAGCAAAACATTAATAAATATGAGTGTGTGTGTGGGGAGGAAGAAACAATTTTTAAATGCGATTTTCCCCAAGGCAGCACAAATTAGGTCATATCATGGGTTGGCGTATTTTGCAACTATTGCCACACAATACTTCACATTTGCATTGACCATGAACGAAGCACAGGGACAATCGCTACAAGTATGTGGAATAAATTTGAAGACCCATGCTTCTCCCATGGACAGCTGTATATGACCTGCTCTGCTGTGGGAAAAATACTTCTGATTTATTGGTGTAAGCACACCAGAAGTACAAAAATTATTTGCATGTTTAAAACCGCTTCAAGAAACTTAAAACACAAAGACTTTCTTTCTTTTAGTGGCATTGCAACGTCTGCGGTAATATATACATATCTATCTATCGATCTCTCTCGCTCTCTCTCTCTCTCTCTCTGAGAGAGAGAGAGAGAGAGAGAGAGAGAGAGAGAGAGAGAGAGAGAGAATATATATATATATATATATATATATATATATATATATATATATATATATATATATTTGTACTTTGAAATTTAAGAATATGTTAGTACAATTTTTTTTAGAAAACATGTTTCCTTTATAGTTAATGAAATGGTAGGGACATATAAGAGAATAAAAGAAATTCTAAAAATTCAAATGACACGTGAAACGTTAACATCAAATCTTTCCATAGATACGTTATTTAAAAAAGGAAAGTTTGATTAACAATTTCCTAAATATACAAAACAATGTCTTGGAAAATTGCCGTAATTCTAATTTTTGAGCAATGAATACATGAAAACTCGATTTAGTTACACACGTTAAAAATGGATTTTTGGATGTTGAGATCTCGCAATATCATGTAGAAAGTAACTCATTATGCCACCCAAAATAAATAACTCCGTTAACGTCGATGCTTATCTTCTAGTATATAAGAACAAGTCATTGTGATTGGTTACGCTCTGTTTAATAGCATGCAAACACTATTCCCCCCTCCCTGTTACTTTATTAAATCGGGTTCATTAAATTACCCAATGTACTTCAAGAGCTTACATTTTTTTTATGTAAATCATTTTGAAGTTGGGTACATTTCACAGTAAATGTGGGTGTTGGAATGTTGTCAATAACACTATTATTATAGAGCGTGGGTCATGCCTCCCGATTAAGCTTGAAAACCTAGTGTGGTAAGACCCCTGGAGTTTACTTATTAATGTGCATTAACAAATTAATAAATTATTTGTGTGTTGGAGACAAGGTTGGTTTATGTTATTTTTAGATGGTGCCCAAGGCAACACAAGATTTGCCACAGAACAGTGAGTGTATTTCCCGTTTATATCAATATCTCTCCTATGCCTCAAAACTCTTTTACGTTTGAGAATTTAAAATACAATTTTGAAATATGCATTTTATCATTTTCCATTTTAGATTTCAAAGGTGGGATAGGCGTCGGCTGCTGAGTTACATATTGAAACCATTGGAGGAACGACGACGACAACCCAGGCTCTCCATTATGTACAAGATAAATAATGGGCTGATCCACTGTTCCAGTATTAAACCGAAACTCGTCCTTCTCCTCCATAGACAGCGACGTGGCCATGAAAGGCAATTCAGGCTCATACCAGTAAGAAGCCAGTATTGGAGCTGCTCATTCCTGCCCAAGACAATCAGGGACTGGAACAAGCTTTCAAAAGGAACAGTTGAGGCGACAACATTAGACTTATTTGTGTCTATTGCCTCAAGCCTTCAAACCCCCAGTGCATGATTCCCTCACAAATTGGCACTGGAAATCATTGAAATGTCCTCATCAACACCAAGCACAGAAAAATTGCAAATCCCCTCTACATGCATATGAGCCTAAATGATCAATAAATTGATCGTGGACCCTTAATATATAGAAGAAGAAGAAGATTTTCATTTAATCGTGGGACTTCATTTCCGTTACAGCCATATCTTAAAACCCAAACACACTACAGAGTGAAATATTGGTTTAGTGATTATTTAATGTTAATTGTGATAATATGTGTTTTGACGTTTATCAGTATATATCTTTACATTTCAATTGTTAGAAACAATTGCGGTGGAAATTATTTCCAAGAAAATTGAAGCCAATATTTAGTAAGACTCGTATGCATACACCTAGAAAATAATAACAACTAAAAGTTTAGCCGTCATTGGTCAACCTGGTGTTGGGCGAATTGTGACCAACAGCCACCAATATTTCAACCAGAATAATAAAGTTTATTAAAGTTTCAAATAGCACAAGTTAAGAACGTTTCAGTTTTCTCTTGAAAATTCTAGAAACTTTAGCAAAATTTATATATATATATATATATATATATATATATATATATATATATATATATTTATATATAGTGTTTTCTGTATTTTTAAAATAAAAATATTCTTTTTATAGAGAGCATTTTTTTTTTTCTTTTTTTCTTAAAATATATATATATATATATATATATATATATATATATATATATATATACATTTCAATTTAGGGTTTGCTGTACGTTAAGACTAAAAATATTCTTGACTTAGAGAGCTAATTTTTATTCCTGTTTTTCTCCCAATTCGGTCCGAATGCACGTAAACTTTTTCTCGAGGCTATTAGGAATTTCTTTATGAACGCGTGGTTTCCATGCGCATGTGCCTCTTCTGAGCTGCAGAATGATCTGGATCTACTCCATAAGTTATAGAGCTATAAGAAAACACAGGAATTTGTTGCTAAAGCTTAATTAAAGTGATTTTCTAGATACTGAGAGGAAATAAGTGATATCCTGATCGGTTTCACATTCTATGTCACTGAAGGTTTAGCTTATTGGACTTTAGTTATGGTTACATAGCTTGAAAAACAACAATAAAAAATCATCGTCGACGGAATGCCCTTCAAAACATTCTACATGCTAAGCAAATGTGTGACTGTTAATCTGAACACACCAGTCAACTTTTCATGGCACGTAATATAAAACGCACTTTTCTCAGCAACAATCCAGTAACAAGCATCAATGACAATCATTAGATTGTTTTCCAACAAAAAATGAGACCTTTGAACGTAGCACCGATGAGCCCGAGCATTTTGAGGCGAATATTAGACAATTTTTTTTAAATTTATATAACCATATTTACCTATATATTATTTTATTTACACACGTTGAACTTTATTTAGCCCATAATATGAAAAACACGAATTTTTGGCCCCATCGGCCAACCTCTAGTCGCACATTTTATTGGCATTACAAGTCTTTCACTAGTAAAAATAGAGAACATTTTTTGTTAAATTATAGTTCTCTAAGTCTAGAAATTTTTTAGTATATAAGTTTAAAAAAAAAACTCAGTTTGGGCTCTATTTATATAGATAATTCTATTCATATAACAGTATAAATATTTATACATGAATTTAGTAAATTACATGTGTCTCACCCTCATTCGTGTTTCCTTGATGCACTTTACAAAGTAATTCTAAGAACTCTGTGAAAATTTTTAATTTTTTTAAAATTGTTAATACATATTTATAAACACAAATTTTAAAATTGTAATGTTGATACTTTTAAGTTTGGAAATGTAATTGAAATAAAAATAGTAATCTCTGCTAAAATGCCATATATACCAATTAGTGTATTTACATTTCATACATAAAAGTTTGAAGAGTTTAATTCAAATCATTGAAAAAGTAAGCTTAGAATACCTTCAATCCAAATTTTTTTTGCCTTTTCACTTAATCCACGTGTATTATTAAGATAATAATCTGTGGATTATATTATTAATTTAAAAATAAATTAGAAATTAATGTATGTAAATATATGTTTAAAAAATTATTATAGAACTAAGCCAAAAGATGAGTAAAACCCAACATAAAAGAACTCCATTGACATTGTCAAATTTTGATCACCTTTAGTTTGTTGAACAATATTCTTCATTTCTAATTCCCAACTTTTCACTGTATCTGAAAATAAACGAGTGTACACATATTTACACTTTAGATATTTATAACGTGTGCTGAGATCTTGTAATAAAAGTTAAGCAATCATTTTGAATGGTTTTAAAATTGTGAGGGCGAGAATATTTGAGAGAATATTGTAGAGACTATTGTATATAATATTGTAGAAAATATTGTAGAGACTATTATAGACATAATTTTATAGAATATTGTAGAGACTATTGAAGAGATTTATTACGTATTGTTATCAATATGGAGAAATTAATCTCTTATTAAAATAAATGGCTCTTTCTAAAACAGTACGCAACAAAAGACGGTACCATATTTTAAATACAATAACAAAGATTACGATTTTTACAATTAATAAGTTTTATTATGTTAAGTATAAATTACAAAATCAAACAGAGATAAAATTAAAGCTATTGTCCTACAATATAATGATTGACTTGTATTGGTAAAATGTCAAAGAAGATACAATGTTGTAAAAATGTACAATGATCTACCAACACACAATAAATAAAGCTCTCTGGCAAAGATAGCACACGTTCAAAAATATCACACGCCTCATCAGACTCCACAGTTCCTGCCCTCCATTGTCTCGGCTTATTTATATGTATATATATAATAATAATAATAATAATAAAGTTCATTTCAAAAACACGCTTCATCCCCAAAGGCTCGGAGCGCGGTACAAAGTCAAAAAAAAAACAACAAAAAAAAACAAAACAAATCTATAGTTTACCACATTTAAAACAAACGCAACACGACAAAAACTAAGTACAAGCATACAATGGCAAAGTCTTTCTAGCCATTTCAACCATAAGCAACACAGCCATTATGCATTAACTGGAAAATAATGTTGACAATCATCCCAGAAGGTGTTTGCGAAATAGATGTGTCTTTAAATCGGTTTTAAAGGACTCCAGTGTCTGGTTGTTTCTGAGATCGACAGGAAGGGCGTTCCAAATTAGTGGACCAGCAAATGCGAAAGTGCGCTTTCCGTAAGTCTCAAGGCAAACACGTGGTGTCGAGAGTTTGCCACTATCGGATGAGCGGAGCTCTCTAGTGGGTACATAAGGCGTCAGCAGCTCTTTCAGATAGGACGGCGCCAGGTCATGTAAGCAGCGGTAGCACAAAGTTGCGATTTTGTACTCCATGCGAGCACGCACTGGCAGCCAGTGCAGCTCTCTCAGAAGTGTTTTTGCATGGTCAAACTTGCGTTTGCGGAGAACAATGCGAGCCGCATTATTCTGTGCTATTTGAATTTTATCCAGGAGCGTAGCTGGAAGACCCACCATAAGAGCATTGCAATAGTCCATGCGTGATAGCACAAATGCAGACATCAGCCTCTTTGTTGCATCAATTGTTAGGAAGGGCCTGATGTGACTAATCCTGCGCAGCTCCAGAAAAATCGCCTTGCATAGCATGTTAATATGACTTTCAAAAGTTAGTCTTCCATCTAGGTAGACACCCAGGTACCGCACTGTTTGAGCTAACTCAATACGCACACCTGAGAGAGTAATGGATGTCGTGTTATGTGCAGATTTCTGCTTCTGAGCGGTCGCAATGGGGAGCAGCTCAGTCTTATCATCATTTAATTTGAGCTTGTTTATCGTCATCCAGTGCTTAACCGACTCCCTTGTCTTCTGTGTCATACTGAGCAGCTGAGGGAACTGAGAAGGGATCATGGATTGATGAAGTTGTGTATCGTCCGCGTACATGTGATACAACAATTCACGCCCTACTAATAGCGCAGCCGAACTTGGGGTAATCGTAAGTTCATTAATCAGAAAAGATAAACGAAAGTAGACGAGAAAGTATAAAAGAATATTTTAGAAAATATTTATGACGAAGAACGCTACGAAAGTAAATAAAAATAGAGGGTAAAAACGTGAGCACTAATATTTCTTTACAAAGTGAAACGATTTGATTTATTATACAATAATATACAATAAGATACCTGTCAAGCTAATTTGCATAAATCACTAATCATATTTTATTATTATTTTTATTAATCAAAACCAAAATTACTAAATTAAAAGCCAATGTGAATTAATTTTTTTAAAATATACGTTTTTATTATTTTATGTTAGTAAATTGGTTAGCATATTACCCTATTCTATACCTAACACTTACAGATGACCATTATTGTACACATCAATTTTGTGACTTTTTTTTAAATAAAAAATCTGGATACCTTAAATAAAAATAATTTCTTTTTTTTTTTTAAATTTAAACTAATATTTTAACACACCTTGCTAAATTAAATTAGTGTTTATATTTTTAAATACGTATAATTAGAAATTTAACAAAGTTAGAAATGGTGCAAAGTAAGAATTATAAAAGGTTCCGCATTTTCAAAGGTTGACCTACTACAATCATAATATATCAAACACAAACACATAATGATATGAGACTGAATATAACTATAATATTCGTAATACGATTATATTTCACGACATAATTCTTTTCTTTATGTCTCATATAGAATTTGCATTTCCATCTTTGAGCTTTGCTACACCCGCTGGATGATCACTTCAATAAAAAAATTTAAATAGCTTCTTCTTCAATAATTGTTTTAAGCATAGTATATCATTCAAATATGCTGTTGTGTGTTAAACAAAAAAATTACAAAAATATATATATTCTTTAAACAACTTTAAGTTAAATATTAATTAATGCTTTAGTTAGTTAACAATTTTAAACATGATTATTTGTTAAATACGACCTAGTTTTCAAAACTTATTTAAAAGGAACTAATTTTGTCTTAAATGAAATAAATTCAGTTATATATACATACATAATAGCCAATATACAAGGGCATGGCTCGGGATTGCATTCGAAAAAAACCCACAAATTTTACATCTTTTTAGCTGTCATGGAAATTAAGGGGCATCTAAAAAAAAACACTTTTTCACATACGATCCTAAAAAGATCCAATTTCCCATTCGAACCCCAGTCGGAAGCCTTCTCAGTTTGGATCACATTCACAAGTTTGGGATCTAGATCCCGATCATGATGGGAACCGAATTAACCTCGATTAATTGCTGATCTAAATGAAATACCGTTCCCAGTGAGATCCCGATTCAGATTGGATCCAGATTTTGATGGGATAGCAATTTTCCGAAGGAATACTGTTCCCAATTGCATCAGAACCCCATATGGATGTCGATTGGTTCCGTTTAGACATGGTATCTCATATTCTGATTGAATTCCGGTCCGGCGGTTTCCAGATCCCAGTGGAATCCAGATCCCAGTGATCTTCACCCTTTGGGATTCCGAACCCATTTTCTGTTTCAGGTTGATCCTGAAGTATAGTCCAAAACGTGTCAAAGTGTCCTCGTTTTATAGCCATTTTCATTGTTTCTATAGTATAGCAGTTACTATCCTAGTGTCTCATTTTTATTTTACTTAGTTTATATGTTTTTAATAATTGTAAAGCGCTTAGAGCTTTAAGGTATGCGCTGTATAAAAATGCCTAAATAAATAAATAAATAAATAAATTCCGATTTTTAAGGGATAATTTTTCTAAATGTGATCAAACATTCGAAAAGTTGTGATCCCGTTCCTCTTTGGGATCCCACTATCTGATGTGATCCAATTAAGTGTTTGATCCCTTTACCATTGGTATACAGATCCCTGTTAGATCCCATTCATATCATGATCTATTTTCTGTGATACTGCTACTGGGTGGGATATAATTTTCTAATTTTGATCCCGTTCACTTGTAGGATCTTGTTATTTAAGGGGATCACTTTCCTTTTCTGTTAGGATTATAAAGTGTTCGTTTAAAAACTTTAGCTAAACTCCATGGATATACATATTAGGATATACCGTAATTTAAGTATTCAAAGCGAAAGAAACATAATATACATATGATAAAGGCATTTACATAATTATAAGAAAAAATTAAAGAGAAAAAATCGATGCTTCAAGAATAAAAAGATGACTCGGTGATAAAAAAATCCCTAGGAAATTATTGGAGTGAATAGAATAAAACTAAACTTTAAATAAATTAGCAAATCTGTGCTACCGCTCCTTGCATGACCTTGCCCCATCCTATCTATAAGTGCTACCCACTACACAACTCCACTGATCTGATAGTGGCAAACTCTCGATACCACGTGTTCGCCTGGAGACTTACGAGGGGCACATTTCGCGTTTGCTGGCGAAACAATTTGGAACACCCTTCTAATCGCTTTCAGAAACAGCCAGACACTGGAATCTTTCAAAACGGATTTGAAGACTATCTATTTCGCAAACACCTGCTGGTGTGATGTTGTCTATCTAGCTATTATCTTGTACAACTATATTGGCTTGTGTTATTTATGTTTGCAAGGTATGAAAGACTTAGAATGGGTATTCTCGTATGTAGTTTTTGTAATGTTGCATTTTGTACTTCAATGTGGTATGTACCTAGCGTGATTTTCAAATAATCTTTATTATTATTATTATTATCATTATTAATTTTATTATTATATAATCTGTAGTACAGTATATAAGTTTATGCACATTATAGATCACATTTGATAGCATCCTCGAAACTTGTAAAAAAGTTACTTTTCTTCGTAATTATTTTTCGAATACAAAAAATTCTACACCTAAATGCGATAACTATAAACATTTTCAGTTTATTTAATAGAGGTGCCCCTGTGTGGGACCTTTTCCCTAAGTGTACCATTTTAGTTATTCCTAAAGTGGCTGGCACTATAAAAATCGTTCAGATAAATAATCGAGTTAAAAATTTAGACGCTGTCTCAATAAAATCAATTAAAAATAACATAGATATAGCTTTTAACGTTAATAATTAAACGTCATGGAAAATCCTAGATCGAACCTGATTGAATTGGATATTATTAATCTTAAATCAACCAATATTTCAATTCAGACAATGTAGGCCTAGTTCCATCAATTTATATATAACCTAAATCGTTGTCTGGCTAATCGAATTTTAACTAAATCGATTATATAAGGAAACATGAAAGGGGACCCGGCCCAATAGGAATGGATACACTGAAATCATTCACAATCAATTATTTAAATATTGATAATCAAATGTATGTGTGCTAAACTTGGTCAGGATCCAGGCATTTAAGCAGCAGCATTAGTTGGTCATTTAAATTACTTACCTCATATAAGAAAAACACGAATTTAGGGTCCTAGATCCCAAAAGGAATTTTTCTAAAATTTTTAAGCGCCCATTATTTCCCTCAGGATAATGATATATATATGTGCCAAGTTTGGTATAGATACATTAATCCATGTATAACGTATACGGAGCAACAAACCCAGAAGTAAGCAAACTTTTATTTATATATATATATATATATATATACACAATGGTACATCGGGTTACGAACTTAATCTGTTCCAGAGCTCGGTTCGTAATCCGAAGTGTTCATAACACGAAACATTTAAATCATTGAAATAGAGATAATCCGTTTCAAGGACAGGAATCGTTCTTTTTTAAAATGAACACCCTGTCGCTTAACTGACTAAACGCCTGGAATATGTGTGCTTCACGTATTAAATAAGATCAAAGAACAACCAGAAAATAATACCGTTTCATCGCAATAAAAGACGCCTGATATCCACCTAGAACGCTTTTGGTTCTTTCTCGTTAGAACTTGCTGCCTCTCTGTGACCAATTACACTACGAAAACCACTCTTTTTAAAAACTTTTCCAAATCAGCCTCTCATGGCTTTAAAATCACCAGTCTCGCACAAAGCAATTTCAACAATAACTCCCCGATTTGCCTTCACTGTTTTACATATATGCCTTTTTACATGTTATTGCTTACTAAAATTATCTCCTGCTAGTTGTCACCGTTATATAGTGTGTTTATGCTATATGTCTGATTATTAATTGTTTCAATGAGTAATGATGTTTTCTTTAGGAACTTCCCTATGTGTCGCACCCCTTTTTCTCAGTCTTGAAACGCTATGACGCATTTCCGGTGGTGCGATATATTGGTGCGAAGAAAATATGAAAGCATATTTTTTATGTGCGTCAGACTGTGTTTTCTTTCAAGAAATGAGTGACTGATTGGTTACACTGTTTCACAGATGAACAGTATTGTTGATGATTGGTTTGTCGTGCATTTTGTCTTGGAGGAACAAATTAGTTATTAAATTATACCTGCTACTTCAAAGTCTATCGCGAGGTTTTTTTCTATCAGAAAGAAAGAAAAACAGAGTTTAGGCTCTGGTTTGATATTGTGTCTGTGGCCGTTTGAAGAGGGACCTACCCCTAGACAAAATTTCGTCACAGTGGGGGCTTGTCTACACTGTGAGCCATAACGTCCATACCAGCCCACATGTCGCTATAGTGGGGGCTTGTCTACACATAGAGCCATAACGTCCATACCAGCCAAGATTTCGTCTCAGTAGGGGCTTGTTAAAAAAGCCACAATATAGAAAACACACTAGGCCTTATCATTCGCTAATGTGAGGTTCCCGTTGAAACAGCAACAGCAGTCCAGTTAAAACAGATAAACCAGTTACACAAGCCACAACTGAACAGGGACAAGCCATTTCTAACGGGGGGAGAAGACGTACGACAGGAAGAAAAAGCTTGACACGAACTTAGAGAAGAATGCATTAGGTGGATTTACGCTTTATATGCCACCGGAATCTGTGGTAAGAAAAATATACGAGGAAATAATTTTTATGAAATCTTTGACATAAACAATTTTGAGGAATTTAAAATTACTAATGAAGAACATAGTCACAGGACTACCGAAGCAGATATAACATCGAATTGTTTGGACGAGGTTCCAAGCAATACTCGTGGTAAAGTGGATCAGAAAGATTTTAAAGATAACAAGCGCGATAGGGCCTTCAAAAATAGATATGGGCAAAGTAGACCGAGAAAATGTACGGTGGAAGTTAATGGCAATGAGCTTAAATGGTCCCGAGATAACAAGTCTTGGTTAAAGCTAACAAAACCTGAAGGCTCAACTGAAAAAAGGGGCCGTAGCAAAAGTAAGAGAAATGATGAACAGGATTTTCTCGGTTTGATATGGGTGACGAATATTTTGAAGAAACTGACACAAATACATATAAATATACGCTGGATAACTTGGATACAGATTGCGGGTGTGATAATGCACAAGATGACTATCGCCCTGACATAAATTTTGAACCTACTGTTAATCCTGGTTCACACACTAATTTTGATAGCAACATTGATTATGAACCTAATGTTGTTGATGGTACACATGGTGATTTTGATTGTGATATTAATTATGAACCTGGTATTAAGGATACTCCACATATTGATTTTGATAGAGTGCCTTAGATTTATGGTGTACCTGGGGCTTTTGAAAACACAATCACGACCCGGGGGGGGGGGGGAATCCCAATTTCCTCCTAATCCCGAAAAAAAATCTCAGATATTTGTGAAAATTGAAAAGAAGATATTAATGCCTGCCTGAATGGCACTGATTGTGAAGTATATCCGTCAAGAGACTATGGAAATATAAACTTCACAATAAATGATTTGTCTCAAAATAACATTTCTAATAATGTAAAATAATTTTTTTTCCAACTATAATAATTGCAACAAAGGAGAAATGACATATCAAAGTAACGCAAAATTGTCTTTATGTAGACAAGAGTTGTTTAATGACTACGAAGATACCGTGCCGTGTAATTCAGACATGAGAAGAGAGAGGGGAGAGTTAGGCTGGTCCAATAACCTACACAATTTTTTAAAGCAAGGGGATCCTGGAAACATTCCACCTTCTTATATTTAAACAATGACGGGACTATTCATGGCTGTCCGCAACAGATAAGACGTTGACATTTTTTTCCTTCTCTTTTTCACTTTCGCCTTATTAAAGATTTTACAAATTAAATTCTGCAAAGATTCAAATTTTGGTGACAAATTATCGACTTGAATGCTATATTTGGCTAGAGATAAACATTTAACAAATAATTTAGACAGTAACTAAATTACCACTTACTTTGTATGTGTAATTAGAGGTCATCACTCTATAAAAAAACGGCCATGCAAATAAAATATTATTGACCTTAAATTTATGAATAATTAAAATGTGTTTTTATTTAGACATTCGATGACATTTTATCCATTTGATATAGATTATACTTTTAAGTTCTTATTTGAATGTCAGGTTGACCATCGCATACACACGCATGGACCGTTGTTTTGCTTTTAAACTCGCAACATTATGTTTCACCTAACGTCGCTCGTGAGGTGAAACGTGTCACGGTCATATCGTGTGTTTATGCTATATGTCTGGTTATTAATTGTTTCAATGAGTAATAATGTTTTCTTTATGGACTTCACCATGCGTCGCACCACTTTTTCTCAGTCATGAAACGCTATAACACATTTCCAGTGGCGCGATATATTGGTGCGGAGAAAATATGAAGGCATATTTTGTTATGGGCGTCAGACTGTGGTTTCTTTCAAGAAATGAGTGACTGATTGGTTACACTGTTTCACAGATGAACAGTATTGTCGAGCATTTTGTCTTGGCAAAACACATTAGTATCTAAAGTATACCTGTGACTTCAAAGTCTATGGTGAATTTTTTTATATCAGAAAGAAAGAAAAAACAGAGTTTAGGCTCTGGTTAGATAGTGTTTCTGTGGCCGTTGTAAGAGGAACCTACCCTAGGCAACATTTTTTGCCACAGTAGTATGTATTCATTGGTCCAGAAAATCCCAAGTGTTAAGGTCATGCATGGGATATCAGACCACTGCATACCATGTTGTAAATTTCAGGTCAACATACTAAAAAAGAATGAAATCATTCGAGAAATCTCAAATTATGCCAAGGCAGAAAGGGATAACCTGAGAAGTTGAAAGGCTTCTTCTCATATGAAGACACTCCGATCAAGGGTGTCAAGGACAAACGTTTCTGGAGCTACGTCAAGCATCAAAAGTCCTTAAATACTTGGGTTGTTCCCCCTCCCCACTGAGGTGTGATGGTCATTTGACATCTGAGTAAAAAGAACAGGAGGACATATAATCAACAGTTCCAGTCTGTCTTTGGTGGCGGTAGAGAGTACTAGGAGGCTGATTTCCTTCTGCAGACCAACATGATGAACAGAGCCCACCCTCTCATAGAAGATATTAAATTTTCGGGGAAGAGGCAGATTGTGCTTGCCCTCCTCAAACAATTAACCCACTACAAAGCATGTGGTTCTGATAACACGGGTAATGTTTCAGCAAACAGGAGAATAGCGCATGTCACTTCCGATCCTGACAACTAAGGTCCGATATCTGTCATTAGCGTGGTATGCAATGTATTGGAGCACTTAAATTAATTTTAATGCAAGTCAAGAAGCTTCTTGAGAGCCAAAATATACTTAATGCTTGTCAGCATGTTTTCCCAGTCAATAGATCATGTGAGACCCAGCTCCTTGAATTTGTAGAAGACTTGATGACCAATCTGCAGAAAAGCAAGCAAACTGACGTGCTGCTGATGGGCTTCTCACAAAAAATATACTTTTACAAAAACATCAGAGAAATGGCATCAAGGCACATCAAAAACCCTGATCTCTAGCTTCTTTAGTATATAACTGATGCCAGGCAATAGAGGGGGCGGTACACTCTCGATGTTAAATCAGTGGTTACCTAGGGCTCGGTGCAAGGTACATGTTTGTTCATAGCATACATCAATGACCTACCCTAGAAACTGACATCCCAAATAAGACTGTTTAAAGATGACACGGTTGTATATAGGCAGATCACCAACAGTTATGACCAGGACAAGCTACAGCAAGACCTCCATCAGATCCTGAGTTGGAGTTGAGCTGGGATATGGAATTTCATACTACCAAGTGCTACTTTCTAGAAGTAGTACCCCTCTTTAACCACCCTTGCAAACTGCATGGCCATATGTTTGAGCCAGTTTCCATTAAGGTAACTCAGTGCCTCAGTGTTACCATTCAATAGGACGTCCATTGGGACGAGCCTATTAACAATGTGTACCACCAGGAAAACAAGACATTAGGGTTCTTAAGGCAAAATGTAATGATCGGCGACTCTAATGTGACAGAAAAAAGCTCATAAAGCTTTTGTCAAGCCATTTTTTATTACGCATCTTCAGACTGAGACCTAAACACGCAGAGCTACAACAAGATCTCAATCGGTTAGCCGACTTAGAGATGAGCCTGAAATGGAATTTTATGCAGCCAAGTGCTGGAAACTGACAATCTCAAAAAGTTGTACTCCTCTACACCGCATTTACTAACTGCATGGCTATATACTTGAGCAAGTTCCCCCAGTAAAGGACTTAAGTGTTACCAATTAAAGAGAAGTCCACTGGGACGAGCGTATTAACAATGTGTGCAGACATCCAAACAAGACACTCTGGTTCTTAAGGCGAAATCTAACGATCGACAACTCCAGATTAAAAGAAAGAGCCTGTTAAGCTTTTGACCGGCCACTTTTAGATTACGCATCTTCAGTCTGTGACCCATTTACTCAGCAGAGCATCGACAGGTTCCAGGCGGTCCAGAGACGGGAAGCATGCTTTGTAATGAACCGCTACAGGAATACCTCTAGTGCTGGCAGCATGCTAGAAAAACTAGGCTGATCACCGTTGGAGGACAGACGAAAACTATTTTGGCTCTCCATGATGTACAATATAACTAATGGGCTGGTCCACTGCTCCAGCATTAAACAGAAACTCTTCCCTCTCACCATAGACAGCGACGATGTCATGACAGCAGTAAATACCACCGAGAAGCCAGTATAGGAACTGCTCATTCTTGCCAAAGAGAATCAGGGACTGGGAAAAGCTTCTAAAAGGAACAGTTGAGGCGAAAACACTTGCAACATATGCATCTGATGCCTCCGGCCATCAAACCCCCATTTAATAATACTCTTACTGTGTAGCCCTTGAAACCAGAGAAATATCCTCTTCAACACGAGACACACCAACTTGTAAATGCCCTATACATGTATGGGAGATATAATGATCAATGAATTGATTGTGGGTCATTAAAATATAGAAGGAGAAGAGAAGATTTTCAACTTTTTCTGAAATATAAGGTCTTTGCTTTTGCAGTTTATTTACGTCTCTAGCCACATCGCTGATTTAAATAACTGTTTCTTTTTTTATGATGACTGAGACAGTTTAATTAACCATACTGTACTATGTGTGCAACGTACGCCATCTTTTCTATACAAAATTAAACCTTGCTCTCCGTCACCTTCTTTCATAACCTAAGGCACTTTTCGTTACTCTAGACAATTTTTTTTCCTAACGAATTCGTTGTCTATAACCCGCATTGTTTTTGACCTAATGCTTTCGTAATCCGAGGTACCTACTATACTAGCTAACATTCACGGCAAGGCCCAGCATTGCATTACTAAAACAACAACTTATACAGCCTTTAAGCTAATGTCGATATAAAGGGCCTTTAAAAAAAATCACCAAAAAAATATTAAAATTATTTTTTTTCTCTTAAAAAAAATTATATTTAAAATACGATCGCAAAGTGATCTTATTTCCAGGAGGATCCTTTTCTGTTGGGATTTCCATATCCTGATCCCAATGGGATCCTGGTTAATTTAAAATGGAATCCTATTAAATCACAATGGGATCCCGATTGTATACAGTTTCTAAACGGCTACAATTCTCCTTTACTTGTTGGATCCCATTTTTGTTGGATCCCATTTAAGGAGATCCTTTCCCTAATTGAAGAATGACCCCTTGGTGATAAAGTTCACGATTAGATTCCGTTTTCGAATAGGATCCTTTTCCCTGTCGTGTTCAAGACCCCGATGTGCCCCTTTTCACATGGATCCTGAACCCATTGGGATCCCGATCCATTTGATCCCAATCATGTTGGAAACCGTTATCAAAATGGGATCCCATATCTTGATGGATTCCAATAGCCCGTGCAATCCTGATGTTGGTTGGGTCCCGATGGCATCCCAATCCCGGTTAACCTGGCACCAAAGGGATCCCGTTTTACCGATGGGATACCCTTTTGGTGGAATTCCGACTCCGATTAAAATCAAGTTGGGATCCCTTTCCTGGTTGGTTCATGACCACTTTGGGATCCCGATCCACCAAAACGTTTACCTTACTAGGTGACACCAACCCTAGCTTCGCCCCTGTGACTAGTGAGAATTTTAGATGTTTAAAAATATTATAAATAATTATGTCATTACTGTACCGCTTTGGAAAAGTATATAGGTCATAATTTAATTAATACATTTTAAAAAGATTAAATTGAGTTTTACTTTATTACTCAAATACGTTTAAGTAATATTATTTTGTTTAGGGGATAAAAACCTTTATTTTTATTTTAAAGTGCTTATATGTGGGTTCTACCAGTTGGGAGTTGGGGTTAAAGAGATTTTATGGACAAAAAAAAATGCCAGATAGAAATTGAGAGCCTCTTTCCAAGAGGTTTTAGAAGAAGAGGGCTGATGTTTGAATATTTATTTTCCTAGGTAACACATTAAAAACAAGTTTAATCTGCTTAAATTTGAAAAAACAACATAAATTCAGTCTGCAAATGCAATATATCAAGCATGCAATTGATGTTAACGATTTTTGATATTGATGATTATGGACGGTTTATATAAGGACTCATATTCACTCGAGTCTTAGAAGAGGCATCATATTAAACCCAGGCTTAAGTGATTTTCTTTGAAAATCATTGCTCTTTCAATCTTAAAGTTGCCTTCATATCACCTCCAATCTTTAGAACGTATTCAGAGTCATCCCAGTTGGTAAGTAGACATAAAGAACTACAAGGAATTAAAGTTGGTTTCATAGACATAACCAGTTTAACAAATTTGCTTCATCTTCAAATACAAGTCTAAATTCAATGATTGTTTTTATAGATACTATTTTTTTTTTTAAAATGATATGTATTTATAATTTTATTAATGTATTACCTTTAATTTTAGTAAAGTCCTTTTCATAAGGCTGTACAATTTTTCCTCCGTTTGAGAGATTGCAAGCTGAAATAGAAAGTTATGAGCTATATGAGCTACATTAATGGTAGTAAAAATATGCATGTAAATTCTTTTTGTAAAACACAATTTCTATCAGCTTTGGTAAGACACGTAAATAAAACAGATTGTCTTAAAAGGCATACAAGTTTTATGGTATGTGTACGCCTAATTTTAGTCATGATGCTTGCCTCCCTTTTCTTTTGTTATGATGTTCACAGATTAAATGTGATGAGCCACTCGTTTCACAAACTCTTTCTTTCATTTGGAAAATGTTGTTAACGTTTGAATACGTTCTATTTGTTATAGAGAAAGGTGATGCAATTCGAAGATGTCATTTTCTACATCAGGGGGTATCAAAATCAAATCACCTGGGGTCCGCAAAAGGTAGAGTCTGATTCAGACTGGGCCGTATCAAGTATTCTACAAAATGATATTACAAATTCAATAAATTACAACTGTTACAATCTGCTCAATCTTTATTTTAAAACAATAAATAATAAGGTTACCAAGAACTACGCTTCACTTTCTTTATCCTACTCCTTGTTGCCAGAGACATGGCAGCGCCTTTTCTTACACAGATGAGCAACATTTGGCTTGTCTGAGGAAGCAACTGAGACTTTCAGTATAGCTTGACGATGCTCATCAGTAAGTTTGGCTCTGGTCCTTAACTTTCATTTGTAAAAAAGAGATTTTACTCCAGAAAGGTCACATGATCCGCTAGAATAACTGGTAAATCTCAGGGATGGTGGAAGGTAATTCCCTCATAAAATGTCCTAATTTTTTTGTTTGTCCCTTCACCTCCCTGAATTTTAGCCTTGAGTTCAGAATAGCCCTGACAATCAATCAGCTCCATTTAAAACGCAAGAAAAAGAAAGGGGTGCATCTTCAACATTGCCGAAGAAATGGTCAGCAAAAATGTGAAAAAATGGCTCTGTGTGTTTTGAAGTCAGCAGGCGTGATCAATTTTTTCCTATAGTTTGCAATGGCATCAGCTACTTACTACTGAATGTTGTACCCGAGTCCATGAGTACTTTGAATGTTGGAAAATTGAAAATATTGGTCTGTAGATTCAGCTCCTATGTAATTTCAATAAGAAAATCAAAATCCATCAGCCATTTGGGATTACTTAGTACAGGAAAAAACAACACCATCTTTTTCCACGAAGGCGTTGATTTCTGCTTTCAACTAAAGAAGCCTTACCTTTTCAAGACGTTTCCCATACTAAGCCAGCGTAACCTTGGTGAAGACGATAACATCCTCGTATGATGATTCTATTTCCCTTTAAAACGTTTGGAACTGCGGGGCTTTCAGCCCCTGGATCTGATATAGTTGATGGATTTTACAACGTCAAACATCACTTTGTCAAACTTCGAACATTTGCAGCAAAGGGTCTGCTGATGGATAATACAGTGTAAAATATTGGCTTCTTTCACACCATTTTCTTCCCGTTTTCTTTGAACATGTGACATGAGTCCATTTATTTTCTCTGTACTTTGTACTTTGTGTCGGTTATTTTCCCACGAAAGGCTGTTTCCACAATATAATCACACAGCTGGCGGAATATCTCCTGTGCAGTGGTCTGGACTTTTACTGAAATCATTTTGAGCAACTCTTCTATCACTTCAAAATTATTATGAACTCCACGGACACATATGGCGAGTTGTACAGTGTGAGTAACATCTGTGCTCTCATCAAGAGTGACTAAGTATGCCTGGAAATATTTACCTTTCTAACACAGTTGATCATTTAGAAATGCACTCTGCCAATGTGTTGGTTGAAGGGCTGTGTTGCTAAAACAATCATTTTTTTCCGGGAAGACTATACTTGCAGCTTGTAACATGCACTTATTGATGAATTCGCCTTCTTTGAATGAATTTCCTGCCTTAGCAATCATATCACCCAGAAAAAAACTAGCTTCAACTGCCGCATCACTTTCTTTGTTTGCTTTCTTGAAAAAAAATATGCTGCCTCAAAAGATATTTTTAAAAGTTTAGCGACATGAGCAACTCTCTCATCTTCTTGTGATTTTGCATAATCCTCATCATGTCTTATTAAATAAACACATCTGATATTGTATACCTTGTGCACGGCAACTTCCTCGGTCCACATAAGACGTGTAAAGTCCCATGTCTTATACAAAACAATTGTTCAATGAAAAACAATGAAAAGTCACATAAATCTCCAATTGAAAACTGTTAAAGGATAATTTAATTACATTTTCATATTTTTTGCTTTACGATTGCCGGCACATGACCTTCATGGATGAACTTTCGTGAAAATCCCAGGCCTATCAAGTGTATCATTAGTTAACATATGATTGACAATGATTACGCATGGCGTCGACTGAACAGTATTATTTTTCAGAAATATTCTAAAAATCATTATTTTATTAACTTTCTGTTAATTTATCATACAAAATTACTCGATTAATTAGTGAAAATTTACTGTGCTTGCAAATTTGTATTAAAATTAAAACTGTAAACACCATTCTGTTATGAGTAGGGCTAATCTGTAGTCTTCAATTCCATGAATGTATGTATGTTAATCTACGCAATCACTAACATCGCCTATCTTCTATATTTTGAGGGCCCATGATCAATGGATTGATCATTCTGTCTCCATTTAATCTTTTGGAAAACATGTCTGAAAACATATTACTATTTATTACAATTTTCTTTTAAAAAATGGTGTCTATCAATTGTATTTTCTTTACTTAATTATTTGTGAATAATAGGTAAAAATGTAACGTGTAAAATGAAAGTTTTTGTATGATATTGAATTGCCAACCTAATCAAAGGAATTTTCAACTTAATTTTCAAAAGCTAGATTTTAATTTTGAGTAAATTTAACGGAAAATAAACATATTTTTTATAAAAATTAACATACCTGCAGGTGACTTTTTCTCTTTATTATTCTTTAGAATTTTTTTTCTTTCGGCTGCTGTATTTTTTAAAGAAATATATTTTATCGTTTAGAATATAAATGATAAATTATACTTTCGAATAGACATTTTAAAAAATACATTAATTAAAAGCTACTATATGAGAAATATTTAAAATGTTTTTCATTTCCCGCTTCTTTTCTTAATAAAATGATATGATAGAATAATACCAATAAAATACATGTTATGTTACAAAACAATTGTGTTATACAATAAAGAATACATTTGTTACATTACATCCATTTAAAAATTTAAACAGATATTTTATACCAATGATAAAATAACTTCTGAGGAAAATTAAAAGTATTTTTTAAAGGATTCTTCAAAGTTTTGTCACAAGGTTTTAAAAATGATTTTCTATAATCGATGTATTATTATTATTATTTTTAGATTTTGAAATGTAATTTAAAAATACATTTTAATTGAAATTGCTGAAGACTTTTAAAATTTCAATTTTAAAGCTTCTATTGAGAATTAGAAAATAATCTGCTTTTTTAAAAGCAAATTGATTACTGAAAATTTAACTTAAATCAAAATATTTAGTAATCCACTTTAAATTTTAAAAAAAGAATAACATGTTACTTGAAATGTATTTTCAGGTAAAATGTATAATGTTTTTTTTTTTTATTCTAAAAAAAATAATGATAAAATAAAATAAAAAAGTTGCTGTTTATTAATTATATCTAACCCAAATATAAAAATATTAAGTCTTTACGCCAAAAAAAAATATTTGCGAAAGAGGGAAAGATTTCTGGACGTTTGCAAAAGGAACGTAGGGGAAAGTTATAAAAAAATCAAAGGAAGTGAGATCTTCACCGACAATCATTCCAGCTGGTTATATCATTGTATGAAGAAGTCAGGCAGAAGATGCTCGAAACATAGCTTTGGCAACAAAAAGAACTTTACCGATGCCAAGGACTAAAGTCTATCCTGTGAGAATTTTAGCAGATACTGTATTTCTATGATCGGGCTAGTAAGACGTTTAATAAAGTGTCAAAAGATACTCTATTGTCTCGTGAATACGGAAGGATGTTAGACACGCACAACCACACACACACACGTATATATAAGTAGATACTGTATTTCTATGATCGGGCTAGTAAGACGTTTAATAAAGTGTCAAAAGATACTCTATTGTCTCGTGAATACGGAAGGATGTTAGACACGCACAACCACACACACACACGTATATATAAGGACAATGTGCACATATATATATATATATATATATATATATATATATAAATATATAAATATATATATATATATATATATATATATATATATATATATAAATATATAAATATAAATATATATATATATATATATATATATATATATATATACGCTGAATATGCTTGCTTTTTCTGAAGCTGTTGATATCCAGAGGCACTCATTTTTCATTGACCCTAATAAAAAAGGCTAAATGCAGACCGCGACTGTGTTTTTATAGCGAATCAAACACTGTGCTATCTGTGTGCGTCCGTCGACTTTCTAGTAAAATCTGTAGGTTGCTTCAATTGTTTTACTGCTCCATGACAATCAGGCCTCTTTGAGGTAAACAAAGTTGAGTTTAAGTATGGCGTGAAGATTTTCGATAAAGGTAGTAAATCGAGCGTTTGTAATCTGTTGTACATTTTTATAAAATCTAGGGCTAGGTTACTTGTTTCTTATTTTTCATGTTGTAAATAAAGTAGTGGAGCATTCTTTTTAAATCAATTATATTAACTTCGCTTTGCTTTTTGCAAATTTACAAACTTTCAGTAAATCTATCGAAGGGAAACTTGACACATAGACTGAATGCCAATATCGTCCTCCTTTACAAGTGGAAGATACAATAAATTCCCGATAACAGCGCTCAATGATATTCTTAAAAAAAAGATAGCGCAAGCTATTCTTGATGGGTAATGTTTTCTTTTGGATTCTGAAAGGGTTCGTGAAATAAATCTGCGATGTTAAATCGGGTGGGTCGTTACACGATTAATATAGATCCGACGTGAAAAAATGTACTGTTCCGAACCTTGGGAAAAGGAGGGGAGGGGGCACTATTTGGGATTTTTATAAAACGCGTTCCTTATATGCATGTTTGTCAAAGTGTTAGCCCCCCCCCCCCCCCCCTGAAAAAATGTTCTGTTCCGAACCTTGGGAAAAGGAGGGGAGGGGGCACTATTTGGGATTTTTATAAAACGCGTTCCTTGTATGCATGTTTGTCAAAGTGTTAGCCCCCCCCCCCCCCTCATAGCTGGATACTATATTTTATAAAGGATTTATATGAAAAACTGTGTTGCCAAGGGTTGCATAATTATTCCGTTTCATAGTTTTGGAAATAAGATCTGCACATTGTCCTTATCCGGTTAGTCACTATATAACTAAAATAAAAATTCAGATGTTCGTTCAAGATGAACATAATCGGGAAGTTGTTATTTTTTTCAAAAACAAAACTTGATAATAATAAATAAAAATCAAACCAGGAAGCTAGAATACTGTAGTAATCACAAAAAGTAAAATTTGAAATTAATTTTATTTGACGTTATTCCCAATTCCATTTTAGTGCTAGCTAGTGCTAAGTTTTATTGTAATTTTGTCATTTCTTTGGAACCACTTGCTGAGTGGGGAATGCCTATCTTTTAAAAAAGGGTGATTGGTTTCCATGTGTTAATTAATTATTTACCCATTAAATGGCACATCAATAATAAATGCCCCTTAGAAAATCTTCACTAAATTAAAAACGGTAGGTATTGTGATTAAATTTTAAAGGAAAAAAACAATAAAAAATCTAAGAAATGAACCTCTTAACTGAAAGTTTTCGTCAGGATACCTGATGATGAAAAGAAAACAAGGCCTAAGCATATGTTCACAGAAGTGCAAAGTTACACATGAAAAATATAATATTTTTCCAAGCCTAGAATACATTTCAATTAATATAATTATGCTACGTCATGAAGTAATCGCTTCAAGTATATTGCCTTTAGCAAAATATTATTGACAAAGAGAAATAAAATATAACAACAAATTAATTTTAAAAAAAATATCAATAATAATTTAAGCTTTTAAATTAAATAAATTTAAAACTCTATAATTCCCAGTGAAAAAAATCACTATATTACATTAATAAAGATATATTGCAAAAAAAATTAAATTAGTACAAAATTTAGATTCATTACCCATCTTTTCGATCATTTGATTCCAAACAGTCGAAAAAATGGAATCTCCTGTTTCGCTTTCTATTACTGAAAAAAGTAAAGCAAACAATATTAGATTATAAAAAAAAATTAACTTGGTCCTAAGCAGGTCTAGGAAATTAAAATTAAACCAATAGAAATTTTCAATTTACTCAAGCTCTATTACTCTTCATTAGTTAAAGTACAATTTGGATAGTAGAAACGTGTTGATCGTTAAATACAATGACAATTATATAACATTTTTCTTAAAAATCATTAAGATATATAGAGAAAAATCAAGCATCAAATTGCTGTATGTCACTTTATTGCTGATCACTGTACTAGCCGGAAATTATCAGTGAATGTTGGCATAAAAACAGTAAAAAAGTGCGTGATATATATATATATATATATATATGCTGGATTTGGGAAATTTTTTTTGGTAACTCTTGCTCTGCTACCGAAACATTTTGTTAACTAGAGCTTCACCTTTACTCAGCTCCGATCTCAAGTAAAATTAACATAAAATAAATGAATACAAAAATTTGGTTTTCAAGGATAAAGCCTAATTGATCCTTTTACCGATTAATAGTTAATCCGTCCTTTGGTGACCGATTAATCCACTTTTTTAAAATTTGGTATTTTTAGGAGATGATCATTTGAACGAATTTGCTATGCTTTTATGTGATTTAAAACATTTAATAAGAAAATAGAAATGTAGAAGAATCTGCAATCTCACATCCTACCATGCACCCATACGATGTTTACACATTGCACCGATATCAAAAAGCATTTTTTCCTGGGCTCTCAAAAATCTCGTCTATTCACATAGGTTATCATTTCTTCTAATGATTGACTTATAAATAGGATAAGTCTTTGAAATGATCGAGATTCGTCCCGTGGTTTTCTTACTTACCACGGGCTTAACAGATATTCATGTACTTTGCTGAAAATTTTATATTTAAATTGCTTCTATGACTTATAAGACGATGCATTTAAAGCTAAAATATTATTGATTGCATCTAAACAAATTGCAAGGGTGATTGGAGATGAAAATAATTGTTAAAGAAATGTGTTAATTAATGCCAATTACCTGTGTTATGATTAAAAAATTTACAAATAAAATTAACGGTATAAAAGATTCAAGGGGAATTAGACAAGAGCAGCTTACACTATTTTTTGTTTATATTGCTTTTTTGTGGATGACAACAAGATTATTATCGTTTCAATTGCTATTGGAAAAACTATCTTTTTTTCACACTGATCAAATTATGTCATAAAATAATATAATAATTTCATTCTATCTGCTAAGTACATGTGTACAGCAGAATCAGACTTTTCTCTAGTTCATCCTCTCTAACGAAAATTAAATTTGGCATAAAGTATATATCTTTCCTCAACATAAGTATCGCATTTTTTTACATATTCTCATGGGTAGACTTAACTGCTTGATTTCAAAGTGGCGGTAATGCCGTGCCACTTCATCAGTTTGTTTCATATAAAACCACGGCTAAATTTCGTTCGGCCAGTTTTTTCTTTCAACAAAGCTCATTCTTCGTGTAATTCCTTAAATATGATGCGCAGTTTATCTGGAATATCAAAGCAGTCTCCCAAAGGGGTGGGGACGATCTTAACATTTTTTTATTCGAGATTTCGCCACATAGCTTCTATTACACTTACATTTTGATGGTCGATTTAGTTTAACCTAAACTTTAAAGCGGAGTTCCTGCTAACCATCTTGTCTGATGGCGGTTTTGGCGTAATCAAATCCTTTAAAAAAAAATCTACTTGTAACTTTATTTGATTGAGTTCAAGGACTTACGAATGTCAACGTTAACATACTTCTTTTCATCACTGAGATTAAATTAATTGGACTGTGAAGTTCTTCACCAAGCACCGCTGATCTACACGGAAAAAAAATAAAATGCTCCAAAACATGGTCTCAGTTCAAAGCAACGGAACTCAAATGATTGTAAGGGAACTTCACCGTATTTTCAGAACTGTAGAAATTATCTCAAAATGCAGTCGTTGCTTTTTGTCCCTTGAATTGAGTAGACTTTAAGCGTCTGCTCTTTAATCTGTGTCGATTACACCGTCATACCGCATATCCAAAAACAATCAACAAATCTCAGGGACTGAAATTCCAAAATGTCAGAATTGATATTAAAGCCACCGTTTTCTCCCAGCTAAAACTTTATGTCCCATTGACACTACCATGAAGTTTCAAGCAAGTGAAAGTTCCACTTAAGCGAAATCCCTTTAAAGTGACAACTGCTGCAGGGTAAACGACTTTTTATTCGCAATGTTGTTTTTAATGAAGTGTTCCAACTTTGAATGTTCTCTTATAACAAGGGCATGGTATGCTAACCTAAACTTTTATTATTTTAAACTAAGAAACTTAATGATATTTTCTAAGCAAAATAATACTCGTTTCCATTCTTTTGAGAAAGCTTGAAAAATATGAAATTTCATAAAGAATATAAATTTTGTGCTTCCATAGTTTTCCACGGGATACTTTGGTACATATCTTTATAAACCCTAATAAACAAAAATAATCTTACCGTCTCTTTTTTAATATGTAAACAATAGTGATCACAACGGCTATAGATGCCACCAATCCACCAAACACAGCATAGATAATGATATTAAAATCATCCTCTCCATTATGTGAGTTCAAACCTGAGAACACGCAAAATAAATATTTACGTTATCTTCATATATTACATTAAAAAAAAAATAATTTAAAAAAATGCCTGATTGTCTCCCTTATTTTTAAGTTTGGTGGACCGGTGAACAAGTTTTGAAATTTTACCAGGGACCGGTGCATGATTTATTTTTATACTTTTATTTCTATTTGACAATAAATATTTATGTTATGGGGACCGGCAGCATTAGGCATGCGGACCGGTGAAGGTCCGCGGACCGCTATTTGGGGATCACTGTTCTAAATTGATAAAAACTTCCATAGACACCTTTTAAAAAACTTGCTACGACAAGCGTTCGCAAGTAAGATTAAACTTAATAATGTTTTGCAACATAAACAATTATGTTTATTTATTTCCTTTAAAAAAAATAATATAATGTTATAATATGTTAAGTGAGCTAATAGTAAAGTACACTATTTGATTATTGCATCAAATACTATTAACATAAAAGAATTCTTAAATAATTTCTTTGTTTTTAAATTTAAGAAAAAGTTTATGTTGCATACAATTAACATATTAATTTTCCACAGTCAAAGGTTTTATTGCTTTTAATAAAATCACATAAATCTACTTACATCCTTTAAAATATATGTAATTTTTGAAACTTTAAAAACTTTTAATTTTAAAACAAATAAATTAAAAAAAAAGATGATTTAAACTCAAAATTTTTTTAAAATTATTATCGTAAAAGTTTTATAAAGGTGCAACTTTTTATAACGGCAACTTAATATCACTTCTGAATAAGATATGATTTTCTCACTCTATTTGCAAAATTTATGTTGCTCTATATAATTAACCTAATAATAAAATAAGAAAACGATTTTAAAAAAATACCCACTTATTAGATATATCATACATTTTCTCGTAACATATTCACAATATACTCAACTCTTATTCTCAGGCACACTAAACTTATTTATTTAAGCCACAATAATCCAATATCATAGTATAAATTTAATGAAAAAAAATGTTTTGCAATTGCATACTTACACTAAATAAAAAAAACAAAAACATATTACCTTTTTTACAAAATTATGCATTTGCAATATAAAAAAATAAGTTCAAATAAAAATATTATATTTCTTTGTTATATATAAATATGTATACATAATTTTCAAATTAATTCCAAATGTTAGTATACACAATTTATAAATTAGTTCCAGATGTTATATATAATATTTTGCCAAAATGAGTCTATATCCATTTATATGTGTATGTCTCCAACAATTGGGTGATATTTTCATTACAGAGTTTTTTTTCACTTTCCTTTTCATAGTAAACAACCCTCCTTTCTAATATACCTGAAAGGCAATTTTAATAAACCAATTTAATATTTCTTTTCTTTATTTTTACATAGCGCCTTTAACGGTTAAACCAAAAGTCGTCTATAAATGTTTTTTATTTTTTTTTAAACTTTACTTATTCCTAATTGATTTTTAAAAGATATTTGGTTCAAACGATTTGCCTTAGAAAACGCATTTTTATTGAAATGTATTTTGATTCGATAGCTAAAAAGCTGTCTAGAATAAATGGCAATATTCCAAGCTTATAGGTTGGAGTTTTAAACCCAAAATCATAGACAGCCAAAAAACACCACCAGTACATCGGGTGAATGGGACTCGTTAATCATGGCGGCTCTCACCGAAGAGAATGAAAATTATGACCCAAACACGAAGATGGTGTTCAGAAGGCCGTAGGCCAATAAAGTACATCCAAATACGATGTTCACTTGGGTTCACAAGGTACTTGGAGAGTGATTTGCTGACTAGGGATCTACCTTATATTCCTAGAGAAAAATCAAAGACCATACTACATTGTCGTGTAAAGTCTTGACCATAGTCAACCTTTGATGGACGGATGCCCCAAAAAATCGAAACACAATTTAAATATTATATTCGCATGATGGTTATTTTAAAATAATTAATAAGTACTTACCTACTGTAACTATACAGTTGATGATACTAACATTTCCATTGAGACTGCATGGTTTATATTTTATTACAATTGCTAAAACCGCTTGGTTCTGTAAAACTCTCTTGAAATTAGCAGATTTGTTATGATATGAAGCACCGGTGGAGTCATTAGCTTTTATCTCTATCATGCATGGCTTAGCAAGGCTTGAACACTCAAATTTCATTGTCAGATCATGTGAACTAATATTAGCTATGCAGTCATTAATGGAGATATCTATGTCATTTATTGTTAAGTTTCCAAACGCATTTCTAGTGTCTGTGAAGGAGAGAAAAATTTTAATTCAAAATGTGCCCGAAATTAGTTTACAACAAACTGTTAGATAAAAATATAAAGTTGAAAGAAAATTTCATTAAATACAACCACTACCATGAATGTATCAAGCGTCATTAATCTTGTTTGAGTCAATTTAATTCCATTTTCATTTCTACTCATTAGAAATAAGTTATATTATCAATCACTTTTAAGCATTATATACACTGTAAATACACATAAATATATTGTATTTTATTGTATGACTAATTTTTATCACTACCATAATTGTTTAACAAAAATACATTCTAATTTATTTAAATAACAATATAATTTAAAAGTAAGTTACATTACATGTTTTTAAATTTTAATCACATTGATTTGAATCCATAATACCTATATTATTTTTACTAATTCAAATTTTATTCATTAACAATTTAAAAAAAAACATTAAATTGTTTATGTTCAAAAATCGAAAACTAAAAAAAAATTGATGAATATATTGTATCTCTTATCAAACAAGTGTCATTCGAAGTCCAATTGATTTATTTTTAAAATTTTTATTTCTAGAGCATTGTAATGGAACAATGACGTAATTATCGTTACATAATTTACACATACCTGTTGATTAATTTGAATGTAAAGGTAAATTAATTTAATATTAATGTATGCACCAATTTAGATAAGTAATACGCTTTTTATTACTGGGTAACATAAAATATTTATAATAAATGTATAAATAAAAATCATGTTGCGTTAAAACGATACTTATATGTTCAAAAGTTTATACATACCATACATAGTTGGAAATACTTGGCTGTCGTTACCAATACTCGTTTCATCTCTTTTTATAGATACACTCATAGTTGCATTAATAAATCTTTCCTCGGCAATAACGTTATGAGAGAAGATCATACTGTTATCGTATTTCTTACATACTATCTGTTGATCTGGGTCTCCACACTCCATACTAACTTTTCTGATAACATTATACGTTTCCTAAAAATGTAAATATAGTGAGTCTTGAGGGAAATCTTTAAATCAAATCAATAAAAGTTAATTTATAAAAGTTGCTCATAACGCAATTTGTTGAGTTATGTAACCTGCAAAAGTACATCAATGTTATTCGTTGTATAGTTAAAAAGGAGAGCTTGTTATATAATATGTATATTTTATTTTTGGCTTAGAAACAATAGGAAACATTTAAATAATTTCAAAAAATCACAAGTCTCTACACGTTTATTGATAAAGAATATAAAAAAGTAGAACATCCTCAATTTTCTTATATTGAAATGCCGCACAGATTTCATTGAATTTAGTTTAAAAAATCGACTTGAGAATATGTAAATATATATATATTTAAAAAAAAAAAATAAATTGTGAAGCTTATCATATCATATTTTTGTTCCAAACAAAAACTTGCATTGTTTCATACGCACGAAAAACATAACAATTTTAATGACAGTCTAATAATGGTATACTAATATTTAAACATTTAATATTTCAAGACTTGCATTAATTTGTTCAAACTTACATGTTCTTTTTGATCCTTATATATAACTTTATAGTCAACATACGTATTGTTGTCAAATAACTCCGATCTGTTTAAAGGAATATGGCTTTTAAATACTATTGTATCATTTATTAATAATCCTTCTTGGCATTCTGTTATAAAGTCATCTTGCTTGACTGGATACAATGTAACTACTGTACTGAGGGATCGGGCTGTAAATTAAAAATTAATATTAAATGAAAATAATGTGTTCCTCCTAACCTCTCCTTTATTGCATATATTCATATTAAAATCAAATTTTGTTTCTAGAAAGAATGTAAGATCGATGTTTCTCTCAGAAATTTTCTACGGGGGTGGGGGACATTTCAGATTTTCGGGGGTTGCACTATGTCAAGTAGCCAAAGGCGTAGCTAAGGGGTGGCAAATGTGACATCGTCCCAGGACACCAGACTTGAGGAGGGGGTGTGGGAAAAATGGGATTTGATGCAATTAATAGGTTGAAAATAACCGGTTTCAGAGTTGGAGGGGTGCGTAAAAATGAATCTTGTCCCCTACCATCAAACACTATAGATACGCCACTGCAAGTGGCGTCGAAATAAGGCGGATGGATTGGTTCACCCAGGTGTCACATTTTCTTTATATGCTGGTGTGGCATTTTCGGCCAACAGCAGAGTTTGAGTCGTGAAAGGGAGGATGGCAAAAATATTTGGCCGCACATGGCAGCCTTAACAGTAGCTACGCCACTAGACAGTGTGTCTATTGATATCAAAAGCAGCGATCCTTTTCATCGAGATGTAGGGCCAAAATCGATAGCACCGATGAATCTTGATCGATGGAGGGGTTTTGGGGAGCTCAGCCTCAGAAAATCTTTGATAATTTCGAAATCAAGAGGATTCATTTTGAGTATACTTGAATTCGATGTTTCTATTTTAACTTTTGAAAAGGTAAGAACATTTTTAAGGTTTTGTGGGAGGCATTATTTAGCCTTGTTCCATGTGAAAACTGAATTCACTCCATTTGTGGCACGCCTCATGGTAATCAATAGGGATAGGCTTATACTCGATACCATATTGTATCATTGATCAGTGTGGTGGAAAGAGTGCACTCTTAAGAGAGCTATCGACAGTCATACAAACTCCAAATGCAAGGGTGCATTATTTTTGCTCTATAACTTGTTGCTTCTTTCAGAAAATTTTGAGTTGACATTTCAAACGTTCGGGTGGAAAATGGCAAAATTTGCCATAACATTGACCAAAGACATCTTAAATTTCGCACCAGCGGGACGTAAACTATATTCACTTTAGTTATGTCACCCTTGAGGGTACGATTTTGCCTTAGATAATTCTCGCCCTTTAAATCATTAAAGTCCCTAGAAAATTTTGATCGATTTAAAATACAAAAATGCATTTTTCACATATCTGAATTTAGTTTTGAAACATTCAACACGTAATTGGAGCGCAACGAAAGATATCCTAGTTAAAAATAAAGGTGCTAATCAACCTTAGAACCATCGTTTGCACCCAGCAACCCCTACGACTGAAGGGTGCCTCGGATATTTTACGGGCTTAAAGATTTGATTAGGGTTGTCAAAACGGAAAAAGCATGACCTGCTTGTGCTATGCGAAAACAAAAACTGAATTAAAATTTTTATTTAACTAAAAATAGTAATGTGGTTATATTTTTTATTTACATTATTTTTAGGGATAGTTACTTAATTAAAAAATGAATTTTCAAAAAAACAACATTTCATTTAAAATCGTTCCATCACTAAAAATCACTGCATACATTATTTTATATGATTATCGCAAACGGAAAAAAAATAAACTTATTTATAATTAAATTGTTTAGACTAAATTTTCTAAATAGGTTCTAATTTTACCAGCGTAAAAAACAGGTTTATTAGAAAGATATATACTTTATTATGGGTTTGAAAACAGTTCATTTTTATAAATTGCATATGAGCGGCATAACTATCTTAAGCAGACATGAGTTGTTTACAGGAGACATTTTATGTATAAATGTGTGATTTTATCCAGGGTAATTCGTATAAAAATTAAGTATAAATGTCCCAAAATTTAGTAGATTGAAATTTGCATTTGTAATTTCTAAATACAATAACTTTCGTAAATGCTTATTCGCTATATTTTAAAACATTTGTCTAAGTCCTCAGAATCTATTTTAAATACACGAATTAGCAATAAAAATGTTTTTTAAACACGCACCAAAAAAGGAGTTGGCATGATAATCCAAATACTATGTCACACAAAAAAATCTTATCCTATCTCTCTACTGGAGTCTCATCTAAAATAAAATTACTAATTTTACAAAAATGTTGGCAATGCCAATGGATGGGGCACTTTGTTTGTTATTCTGACATAAAAAAAGAGAAAAAAAGCAGTCGGGAAGTTAATAATAATAAATATAAGCTTACAGCTAAGTTTTAAAAACAGCAACAAAAAAAAAAATTATTTAAAAAAAATAAAAAAAAAAAAAAATATCCAAAAAAAAAAAAAAAAAAATCTGTTATTCATGAAACTTTGTAACAAAGGTAGCACATTTAAAGAGAACAAAAACACTTATGATTTAATAATAATTGACAAAATGGGCACCATTTCTTTGCGCCGTTTGAATTCTAAGTTAGAAAAAAAAGCATGATGCCTAATTTTTGGTTACGCTTTTACAATGAACTATAATTTGAAAACAGATTGTTAAATCCTTGACTAACTATTATTAAAATTTTAGTCCTTTATAGGTTAATAAAATGAATTTTCTTATAGTATTATTGAAATCTTTAAACTTTTGGAGTTGCAAAAAATAAATAAATAAAAATAGCGATCCATGCGAACAATAGGAAGTAAGGCTGGAGCGCTAAGTGCGATTTTTATAACCAAAAACAACAACTTGATTAGCCTTAAATATGCGGATCATCAAATATATTGAGCCTAGCGATATTTCATAGATTCCACTTACTGCAATCGGTTAAAAGCACCAGTTGCAATTATCATTTTTAATATACAAAAATTATTTTGTTATATAATTTACACATTGTTCTGCGGCCCCCCCTCCCCCGTGGGGGGGGGGGTAGGCCTCGCCCTCCCGGGGAGACAGCTGAAAGATACACTAATTGCTAACAATAACCATATTTTTGAAAGCATGATGCCATCTTTCAATCTGTAACTAACACCAATCCCTAGTTTAAAATTCATGATTTTAATATGAAATAGAATTTGAAAACAGGAAAAGATTGCTCACGTTTGATACTAAGTGAGAACTCTATTAAAATTATAGATCTTAAAATTGAAAGAAATATAGTTTAATACTGTGTTATTAAAGTATTTAAACTTGTGAGTTTGCAAAAAATAAAAATAAAATATAAAAAAAAATACTGAACGGGAAGTAATACTTCGCCTCATAATCGCCTAATTTTCGAAATATTACGATATTTATAATCGAATAAAGTAAGCTTCTAAGAAGATTAGCGTTAACTATACGGATCATCAAATATATGAAGCTTATCGATATTTCATAGATTCCACTAATTGTAATCGGTTAATGACCCCAACTAATTTTTTTTTAATTGTTTAAAAAATGACAATTTTTTTTTTTATATAGCTGAAAGAAATCCTGTGTGAGATTAAATAGTCTAATTTGTCCACGAGGGTAGTGGCGACAGAGACCTTGTTAATTTTACAATTTTAGAAGTTGGGTGACAATGACATTTTATTATCTCCAAATCTTTAGCAAGACTGGTCAATCTTAAACAAGAATGGCAATGGCTTAGGACATGCATATTCAATATTTTGCAAGAGGAAGACAAGTGTACTAGAAAAAAAAGAATCCATTTTATATAGCTTAGGCTATTTGAGACTTCAGCCACATGCACTGATGAGATGCGGTGGAAGTAAAAGCGCATCCAATTTAGAAGCGAGAGATCCAAACCAAAAGCATAAGAGAATTATTAAGGGCTAATGTGTAGGTGCATTTATACTGAACATTAGTGCGCAGCCGGGACAATTTAAAATACAATTTAAAAAAGGTATCATTCTTTTGATTGCGTCTAGAAGAGAAATTCATTCGTCACTCCCGTTGACCCAAATAGAAAAAAAAAGATATACAAGACAACACTAACCATAACTAGACCTGAAAAAAAACACAATTAGCGACAATTATTGAGACTATTTCAGGTTAAATTGATTTCCTAGGAAAGGTGTTGGCTATTACTCTTACAAAATGAAAGAAGCTTAAGTCGTGAAGCTGTTTTGTCTGATCCTAATGGTGATCAATTTAATATATTAATAACCAGTCTAGTTGAGGAACATTTCAAATCAAATTTGGTAAAGCCATTATAACTACAACACAGAAATCCAGTTAGCATGCTATACATTTCATTTGTTAAGAAAACTCAATCCTTGTGTAAAGGCAATTCCTTCCACATACTGGAGATTGAAATATTATTTAATAAAAATGTGTCAACATTAATATTGAACAACGAACACTTAATTTAATTTAAGAAATAAACATCTTTGGGTAAAATTATATTAATTAAAGAAATAACATTTCGCAAGTATTTTTATGCATATCTTACATAGAATGTTGCCAACCAGGAAAATACGAAACACTGTCTGCAGCAACTCCATTCCTCATTTTTAAAGCTGTTAAAGAGAATAAAAAGATATGTATTAACCTACAAGTTGAAATAGTTTGCGATGGGAATATTTTGTGATAACAAATGAGATAAAAAGATATTTTGTATGATTAGAAAATTATTGAACTTTTTTTGAAACTTATGTATTCTTTACAATGGGTAATGAGACCCTACAGATGGGTTTTCATTTGGTTAAATTCTTTTTTAAAAATTTTATGTATAAAAAGTTAATGCCAATAAATAAATAATAAAACAATGAAAAAACAATATTAGTAATTAAGTTAATAAACAGTTTTTATATTTAAAAAAAACAACATATCATATCTTATAATATTAAAGAATAAAAATAAACTTTATGTTTACGTTATCATGTTTTTGTCCAGATTATTAATCCTTGCTCTTTCCTTGATGTTTCATTTTGACTAACACTCATACATTTTTAGACGTTAAATTAGCTAATGCAACTAATTCTTCTAAATTTTAAATTTATTCTGATACCATTGCATATTAATTACATACCATTTATTATCAAGTGTTTCAGTAAAAATGCTAACATTGACATGGAGAATCATTTAATAATAAAGGGAAAACCCGTTCTGATTTAACCCATAAACAAAATTTGAAGGGGAAAATCTGTTACGTACAATCCCTTGAATGTAATTTATGGGATTAAAGGTCATGGGAATGAATTGTGATAAAACTTAATAATGGCAGGGGTTAGCAATCTAGATTTATAGTAGGAGAGGGCAACTGCTAACGCAGGAGTATGGTGGGTTTTAGCTCTCCCTTGAGAGACCCTATTAACAGGTATAAATCCTCAGTTGGAGACTCCAATTAAAGGAAATAAGAAAAACTAAGTGTGGGACAGCATGGCAAAATGCACACATTTTTAATTATCCTACTAATATATTTCACACGTATTACTAAATATCACGGACACCATTAGGGTTGCAATATTAATCAGGAATACTTGGTTATCGGTTTAATTGATGTAGTAGTTGATTAATTAACTAATTAAAGTATAAAGATATATTTCAGCCTAGAAACTATTAGTACAAAATTTCTGATGTATATGATACATGATATATATATATTATATATATATATATATATATATATATATATATATATATATATATATTTTGTTAGTGGGGAGTCGACAATGACAACTTTAATCATCAGATTTTTTATAGTTCTGTCTGTATAT